AGTAGTAGTAGTAGTAGTAGTAGTAGTAGTAGTAGTAGTAGTAGTAGTAGTAGTAGTAGTAGCATTAATAGCCTTGGTAGTAGTTTTAGCTGCTATATAAGTAGTAGCAGCAGTAGTTGTTGTAGTGATAGTACGTAGTAGTCGTAGTATTAGTAGTAGTTGTTGTAATTGTGGTGGTAGTAGTAGTTGCTTTAGAAGTAGTAGATATAGTAGTAGTAGTATCCATGGATAATTATCCTAATCATTTTACTTTTCTAATGAATTATGTCCTGATACATAGTAGCCCTCGCTTGACTTTGCCACTTGCCACAAATAAGATATTTACCATTTATTATTATTATTATTAATAATTTAAAATTATTATCATCTTGAGATTTCATTACGAAACAAGAAACTTTTTGTATATTTTAAATACAATATCATAAAACTGCAAATACTATAGCTAAGCATCATTGATGAAATTTCAGGTGACATCGATATTTAATTATTTGGTGGTTAATCGAAACATTGATTTTATCTACAAATCGCTAAAAAAAACTTACGAAATATCGACTTTCTTTCTAGTTTTCCCAACAGAAACTTGGATTTTTTGGGTATATAAACCTACTTAAAATTGAAAGTCGAAAATAACACACACACGCAACACACACATTCACATTCCATTACATTCATAAGCGTTTCCTTTGTGCCTGTGTATCAACAAATTAATTTTTATAATCTTATAATGATTTTCATGATCTGAAAAATTAATTAAATAAAAAAATTAGTAAAGACTCTTTAGTTTCGTACCAGTGTTTTGTTAATGACATATATAACATAAAATCGGTTAAATCAGATTATGAACTGTGTACATCAGGCGTGAGAGTAAAAATTTAGGTGTCCATTGCACTCGTCCTAGGTTCAGAGTTGTATAAAGCTATCGTAAATTAATTGAACTGAAGTATATGATATCATTGTAGATAAACTTTTTTGGAAGAAAATTCCAAACATTGTGAATTGAATTTGAAAAATGTTTCCTAACCGGTTAGGAAACCGGTTTTGCGCCTTGTTCACTCCAAGTTGGTGGTCCAGTGATAGGTGCATTGGTAGTCAGATGGTAGGTGAAGCCTGTGTTCAAGTGGTAGGTGAAGTCGGTGGTCAAATAGTAGGTGAAGTCGGTGGTCAGGTGGTAGACAAAATTGGTGGTCAAGTGGTAGGTGGTCAGGTAAATGAAGTACTTAGAAATTTCAAAAAGTTCTTAGTTTTCAAGATCTCAGTTGCGTGGCACCCGTTAATGAAAAGTCAAGAGGGTTGTCAAAAGTATAATTGCTGTATATTGAATTATTGTTATAACTATATATCGAAATCTACTAGTAAAAAAATGGTTATTGGAATGGGAAAGCGAGGTGCAGCTTTCAAGAATAATTTTAATAATAAATGCTATGCTGGATAAAGCTATGAGTGATATTTTTCTTTGTATAATCGACTTCTAATAGCTTTAAGGATTGTGAACTAGCGATGTAAGGAAAGTTAAACAGTTTACAGTAGCGTTGTTTAAAAAATTATTTTAGTTGTTATCTTTAGCATTATCGTTATTATTAAATAATGTTTTGAAACGTAAATATTTTTAGAAATAATAATGAGTATCTTAATGTAAATAAATTCAATAAAAAGATAAATATATACATGCGTACACACCACATACACGCACATTATAGAACATTAATTATATATTTATGTATATATTGTCAGAATATTTTTAAAGTGAATTATATCGAGGAAACAGTTTTGATGAATTTTCTGAAAAAGCCGTGATAAATATTTATTTAATCTATTTTAATACAGCATTTAATTATAATTTAGTCATGAATAAATATATTGAATAATTTTTTAAATACTGAGTCAATTTATATTAAATGATCAATAATTTAATTCTAGAATATTTTTTAATTTAATAAAAACGCAGACATAGTTTTGACAAATTTTGTAAAACAGCCATGTTAACTATTTATTAAATATATTTTGATACAGCGTGTTAACTATAATATTAAAACACACGCTTTTAACAACTGTTGTAAAATTGTCATTTAGTAAATATATTTTGATACAGCGTATTAACTATAATTTTGCCATGAATTAATATATATAATAATCTTTAAAGCACACAATATTGTGTCGATTGATGTAAAATAATAAAATATTTTTTGTCAGATTATTTTTTAAATGAATAAAAACCGAGACACGGTTTTAACAACTGTTGTAAAATTGTCATTTAGTAAATATATTTTGATACAGCGTGTTAACTACAATTTTGTTACGAATAAACATAGTTAATAATCTTTTAAGCATACAATATTGTGTCGATTGGTGTAAAATAATACAACTTTTACTGTAAGGATATTTTTTAAATGATTTAAAAACACAGACAGAATTTCTTTAACGAGTTTCGTTCGCTAACATTTATTTATTCGATCAAATAAAATCAAAACTTTTTTTTAAATTAAAACAGGTGTTTTAAATTTGCATGTGTTTTATGCATTAATGATTTCTTTAACTTCTTCAGTTTTTCCATTTCAAATCAAAAGTATTTCGGCTCTCCATATTTATTTGTCGTTGTTCATAAAATTTGAAAATCACATTCATAAAACTGGTGTTACGGACGTTAAAACTACTGCAGGCCGGCAAGCAAAAATAAAAAATCGTCAACGTTCCAACGAATCAAAAAAACCTTAAATATCGATATATAAATACAAAGCATTAATCAATGAATTTTTGTGGTGCTATATGTGTGTACACAGAATCTAAAAAATAAAATTGATACAACTGTAATTATTCCAATGAAGAAACATAAAAAATTGCCACTAATTTTCAATTTCAAGCAAACACACCGACCGTCCTATTCACAAATTGTTTTAAAATCATCATCACTTTACATTCATACATTGTGTCAAATCAGTACTCCAAATTTACTTAAATTTGATTTGTATTTTTATTAATCAATAGTATCAATAGTAATCCTAATCTTTTTCTTGCTCTTGACTTTTTTCTGCTTTTGATACTGTTAATGATACTATTCTCTTGAGACTGCTAGATCATTCTTTTAATGTTTATGTTTTTGATTTTTGTCTATCTTAATTTTCTTCTTATCTCCCTTATCGTTTTTCCACTGTTTTTATTTATATTCTATTCCTCCAAACTACCTCGTATTATTAATTAATCTGTCAGTCAGTCAGTCAATCAAAAATCTTTTGCCTTTTCTTGATGATCCTACTATTCTCCTACTTGTTTTTTATTATTTTTATCTAGGATTGATTAATGTAACTCGCTTTACTATGGTCTTTCTGACTCCACAATCTACCCTTCAAGTGAAGCTTTTAACTCAGCTGCTCGTGCCCCTTTTCTCATATATCTCTTGTGCCAGCACCTATAACAATTTTTTAAAATTTGTACAATAATGTACAAGTCTCAATCTAAATTATCTCCTAAGTACTTATCAGATATATTAATTAAACCGAAACGCTCTTGCTTATGGTCGTCTTGTTCTCACTTTTTTCCTAACTTGTGTTAAACACTCTTATGCTAAATCTGCGTTTGCTTTTTCTGACCCTTTTCTCTGGAGGTCTCTACCTTCTTCTCTAACTACTTTTCCATCACTTACGAAATTCAGAACGGATCTCAAGAAAGACCCAACTGTTTGTAAAATTCACGAAGGTGCGCTGTTGAAATTCGCGGCAATAGCGCCTTAATCAATCAAATAGTTCCTAAAGCGCTATTTCCGCGATGTTCAACGGCGCTCCTCGGCAAGTTTTTTTACAGATAACAAAATTTATTAAAAAATTTTATTTTACTAATCAACCTTATGCAGACGATTTTATTTACTTATTTATACTCCCTTTCCTCCATCCAGTCTAATCTCAATAGTTTTCTTCAGTCTTTCTCTTGTTATCGCTTGGTGTGAAAACATGTTTCCTAAATTAAATCGTTTTAAGTAATATTTTCTAATGTTTCTAAACACTCTATTATTATTCCTTCTATTATCTCGCATTATTCTAACACTTGATTTTTCTCATAAGTTTCGTATCTAGGCTTTATCTTTGATTCTAGCCTGTATCTGATTAATAATGTTGCTAAAAGTTCTTACTGTCATCTACGTAGAATAAAACAAAAATGAAATACTCCAAGCTCCGAATAACAGAAAACAAATAAACGAAGAAAAATTGAAATGACTGACAAAAATAAGATGGTGAAAACGATGAAAAATAACAAAACACAGAAAAAGATGGAATTCCAATGGAACTGATACAAACATGAGAATCAGTTGCACTTCAAGAAATGTATGAAATCTATCATGAAAATGTGAAAAATGGCCAAAAGGACAATGCAAGTCATTACCAATTATGTTAAGAAAAAAGGCCTGAAAATTGTAATAACACTAGTTTTTCACGTTTGCAGAATTACGTTGGCTGACTTGAAAAAGGACTAGAAAAATTACAACATTTAAGTGAAGAGTAGGTTTTAAAAAAGACATAACAATAACCCAGCGTTTAGACTATTTATAGAAAATGGAAGTAGTAGATAAAAGATCTAACATTGTTTTAACAATTTCACGAAGGCATTCGACTCACATTCGTTTGGCAAACATTGTTGGCAACTCAAAAAGAATCGGAAAAACCTGTCAAAATATTAAAAGGATTCAAAAATAATAAAAAAAAGACTTGACAAAGAACTAGGGACTGAATCAAAGCAAGAACTTAAAGCCAACATGATAACCCACCATTACTGCTACATTATCAGAAAAAGCGGTGGGAAAATGGAAACATTACTTTCTGGTGGAATATTGGAGACAAACAATAAAAGATCTCAGGTTCTTTGATGATAATGATCTATAAAAATTCAGTGCAGATGCTTCGCAGGAGCTGATTGATACATATACATTAATAATAACTTAATATACATAGATTATTACAGTGAAATTTTCAAAATTATATAAAAACCGTGAACAAATCGTTAATCGACTTGATATTTGAAAATATTTTAATAACCAATATTCACAACCTTTAATATAGAGTATTGGTAACACTAACAGCTATCTTTGCTTCAGGAAAGAATGTACACAAAATTAGCATGCACATGTTGACAAAAATTTTTAAAGTTTAAAAACGGGTTCCCAAAACAGTGAATTGTACGAGTCTAAAAACGCAAACATTTTATGTGCAATAAGATAAAGTGACAAGTGACAAGAGATTATTCGATGCGTGGAGTTCATTTGAAAGAATGTGTGCATGATTTGTAACATAAGTAAAAAACAAACATGAAATGAGAATGTACACCACCTAACAAATTTAGAGGGACACTATATCGCGAAAACAATTTGCCATGTGACGAAATGGTCACCTTAACAATGAACTGCCAGCGTAAATATTGATTTTAAACTAAAAGATTTAAAAAACTTGAATGATAAAGCATTAAAAGAAACATTTTGAACTAAATACAGATAAATCAAAGAACCGTAATAACAGGATGCAAATCGAAATGAAATAGTAATAAATTACTTAATAAAAAAACACTAAATACTTAATAAATTACTTTAAAAATAGCTGAAAATCCGTATCAATAAAAGACAAAAACGGCCCCAACAAAAACTCAGCAACGCGAATATATAAAATTGTACATTGATAGAAACACCACATTGTTATTAATATTTCATTCTCATTGAGTTCATAAAAAATTGTGCCCGATGTTAAAAACTGCAAAATCAGTGTTCAAGTTGGAAGCCGAGGACAAGGTAGAGGAGAGCCATTCTGACGTACATGCCATTTTCTGCTTGTCTGAAGTAGCCGGCTCGAGGATCTGAATCCACTTCAGTGCTTTTGTTCAACACATCAATCAATATTAACAGATCATGCAATGTTTAACGTTTACACATCATGCAATGTTTAACATCAACACATCGCACAGTTTTTAAAATATCTGCAAAATAAAAACATTTTTAAAACTAACCTAATTTCATTAACTCTCGGCAAGGGATGTAGAATAACCATTTTAGTTTTGGCTTTGGACATGAGGTTTGACGTGATGATGTACTTGCCACAGACCTGACCATGCAATTGGGACGAGTTTAATGGTTAACGTATTAATGTTATATAATTTTAAATACAATCCATAAAAACTAACAAAACTAGCCTGCAATAACATATAAAAAATGAATTAATAAGGTTGTTTAGTTTGAAGATGTTTGAAAAATGAATGCCGTGATAGGGAACCTTGTTATATTCATCTTCACTTTCAAACCTCTCCTTCTGGATGCGAGTCATGTAGAGAACATCGGTTTCCGGCAACGCCTCTTCCATCGACGACATCAATCTCTGTTAATGCATGAACGTTTCATTTTTATGAACAACGCATGCAACGTAATCGGCCTAAAAATATCATTAGCGGCATAACCATTCACGCACTTTAACTTTTTTCATACAAAAATTTAGCCACCACAAAACGCTGGTGGATAAACAAACGCAAATGACCTGACTCAATCCTGCCTTCTTCACATACTCCACCACTGACTGAGGCATTTCGAGGCCAGGAGGTGATATGTAGATGAGATTGCAGTTGTACCTGGTCAGCAAGCGAGCCAGTGAGTGCACTGTCCTGCCATTCTTCAAGTCACCCACCATTGTTATCTGTTCGTGAACAATCAATCAACAACATTCTACTAATGTTTTGTTTTTTCTGTAAACAAATGTCAAAGAGCATTGTATACACAGATTTTAAAAAGGCTACTCAAGACGAATATCATAGGAATAAAAAAAATTTCAAGACCACTTTAACATTGACATGAAAAGCTTTCAAGATAATAAATGAAAATACGACAACGAAAAACTTTTTGCAGCTTTGCAATGAAGTTTGAATTATTTCATTTTAAAACACGTTAAAACATTTCATTTCAAAATACAACAAGGCACAACGCCTGTTATATTGCTGTAGCTTCACCGGGAAGTTTGAATTGTTTCATTTTAAATAATTTATATTGTCGTTTTTATAAGAATCGCAAAACTTAAGGTGCATCATCAGTTTGTATACCGAGGTGTTAGCTAACTACGAACAATTTTAATCAATAATTGGGCGCCTCTGACGCTACTAAACGGGCGCTGCACAAATGACATGAACATCATTATCGTTAACCCTCACAGCAGCTCCCTCTGTAGTGATTTTCAAACACATTTATGCAGGATGCGCTAACATTTTCATTTAAGCAAAACTAACAAGCGATATAACTTAACGATGTCCTAATCATTATTATTAATAAAGTTGTTCTTATGACACGAAGTAAGGCACGTCGTGCTAGCTAGACTGCAAGCATTATTATCATAGCGAGATAATGTAACGGTTGAAGGGGCCAGCTCGTGCGTCGCAGTGACTGGTTCAATTTCAACGAGACATCAATTTCAACGAGACATTTCGTAATCGCGCATAATTTGTGTGATGCTTGTTTGCACATGCTGTGCACGTTGCTGGCACCTCTGACATCTAATTTGAAGAGAACAGTAAAAAAAGATAAGTTACAGTCATGTTGGTAACAGTTCCAATCTCCTCTCTGATGGTGAAGATGTCGAGAAGTGCTTGCGTGGGATGTTCGCCTGTGCCGTTCCCTGCATTGATCACCGGCTTGTCGCTGACCAGAGATGCTTGCTGAGTTGGTTGGTCGATGAAACATCGTCAATTGTTAACATTCAATACATTGAAAACTAAGCAGATTGAAAATAGAGTGACGTAAGTGATGACGCGATGGCTCTGTACTCATTAATGAAACAATCATTAACACAGATCATTAATGAAACAATCATTAACACAGATCATTAATGAAACAATCATTAACACAGATCATTAATGAAACAATCATTACACAGACAGAATGTAAATTATACAGTTATTTAAAATAAAAAAAAAAATAATAGCGGATTTGTAGGAACGAACTTCAACGGCATTTTTCTGAGGGTGTCTTATTACGATGACGTCAACATACCCACTCATCATGCGCACTGTATCTGAAAGTTAATCAATGTGGCGGCAAGTCAGTTACGTCTCTCAATTCACTAACGTTGAACAGTTCATGAAATCGATTTAATAACATTGAACAGTTCATGAATAAAATTGAAGTTGCGAAATTTTGCTAGCCGAACCATCTACAGCCATATTTAATTTAATTTTGACGAAATTTGACCGAATTTACATCATTTCAAGCTAACTGGTATTTCTAAACACACTCTCATCCAATACATGCACTTGCACATTCAATGCACAAACAGCCAACACATACACAAAACTCATGCACATAACTCATGTGTATGCAACAACACACAACTCATGCGTATACAACAACACACAACTCACGCGTATAAAACACAACTCACGCATATAAGACACAACTCACGCATATAAGACACATACACGCACATCCAACAAATGCCCACACAACCTTCGAGAGTTTCCCCCTTCTTGGTGGAAGAAGTGAGTTCGTTGAAGGAAAGTACAGATCCCCCGAGCCTCTGCATGGCAGCTGTAAATGAGTAGCAGGTCCGCGTGCTGTTCTCGTAAAACATCGACGCCATCACCTTGCCCTGAACAATTCATTTCATTTTTTACATTCAAAAAAATCATACAAGTAATCAGCAGTTATGGAAATAATTAATTATCAAAAATTAAGAGACAAAATCAAACATGCATGTGGCAACACTAACTTGTAATTTTGGTTGGTACGGATTTTGTTTAAAATCATGAGCTATCGTGAAGATGTGAGTCAGCTAAGAAAATAATATCATATTAAGAACGAATTTTATTAAAATTATTAAACTATCATTGAAGCATATAAAACATCCAAAAAATGTTCTGAAAAGTTCTATTTATAATTCATTTGGTTCAGTGCTCAAACAGTTCTCAATGGAAAAAATTGAAAAATTAAAATGGATATGTAGATTAAAATGAATTAGCGAATGCACACAATGTTATAATATTTTGACCAACATGTCAATAAATACAATTTATTCATATTTTCACTTACAACTAATATATCAAATTTATTTAATTAAAAGCTAATTTCTAACATTAGAGACTAACAAGAAAATTGTGCATGGTGCATGTACATTCAGCTCAAATTGCTTGATATAAATTTTTTAATTTTGTAATTATTCTCTACTTTGTTTGATTTTTACCATTTTAAACGTTAAAAAATCTAATCATTTGAAGCTTGTGAATAGCGAACATTGCAAACGCAAACACAGACACACATAAGCAAAATAATAATAAAATATATTATAAATAAAGATGTTCTAAATGATGAAGACTAACAAGATTCCTTGAAAACATATCCACAGACAGAACATGTTTCTTGTGCAGAGATATAGCGGTAGATGTTAGAATGGAACTTTGAATTCTAGGCGACAGGAGTGGTAGTGGTGGCTTGAAGGCAGTGTTTGCAACTTGGTCCAATGCCAACAAGCCAGGAAACTTTTCATTTTGACTGTCCAATCCTATCGTCACGACACAAATAATGATAACAATAATCTTTAAAAATGAGATGAATCTAAAAAATTATTCAGACATTTGATGAGGAGGAAAAAATATAATCAGACAGGATTGAGAGCTAAAAAATTCGAATGTTCAGAATTAAAATAATAAATTCCTATTAAAATGTTTCAAAGAGTTACGATGTTGTTTCAATTTCAATGTGCAAAAATTACGAAAATAAATTCTTCTGTATAAACAGTAGATCACATTTGTTATACAGTGGGTTCCTGCACAACGGACTTAATCCGTTCTGCGGGGAAGTCCTTTATGCGAAAAGTCAGTTCAGCGAAACATGAATTCCCATATGTAAATTGAAATAATTGGTTTCGTGCCGAACTAAAAATCGAAAAAAATGGGAAAAAATCAGAGAAACAAGTGAAGCACAGTGAACTCAATCAGTTTTTTTTTCACTTTTCAGAAATACTTAGCAGCAAGTAGAAAAGCAGTAAAAAGTGCAAAAACTAAGAAAAAGTGATTTCGAGACATTTCTCTTAACTTCACTTTAACTTTGTTTAAAAAAAGTATAAGTTTTCTTTCTGAATGTTTTCATTTGATTTTGCTCAACTGCTATAGAAAAAAATTGATATCTTTGAAAAAAAATGGCGATGGCAGCCATGCACGAAATGTTCGATTTTTCGTGCGATTCCGCGCAAAACGGACTCCTGTATTTCGGGGGAAATTGCGGTCCGTTCTGGCGAAAATCCGTTGTGCGAGTGGTCCATTCTGCGGGGACCCACCGTATTTAAAAAATAAAAGTTGGGACCACTTTTATGTCTAAAAATTTTCATGTTTACATTAATTAGTGTCTATAATTTCGTTATTGTGTAACATTTAGAATGTAATTTTAAAACGATGTTTCTGTCAACGTAAATTAACAAAACGCCAACTTTTTCGTGTAGTCTCAACAGCCAACACCCTATCCTCCCTTTTGAAATGCTTCTTCTCTAACGACGACCCACTCAACTGACGAATTCTACCGCCGCCTTCTTGAGGCATGCATGCTTCCCTTGCTGTTTCAACCAATTTTGTTGTCAATGATTTGTCGACATCTACTGGACAAGATTTCACATTTTTTCCAAATCCATCCTCGGCCACAACCTGCATTTCAGTGAAACCGTACAAATGAAAACAACGAAAGAGTGGAAGAATAGTTTTTAATTTGCACCTTCATTTCTAACAATAACAGCTAAAAGTATACAACTGTCCAAACCTCTCCATCAATGAAGACCACTTCTCCCTTCAGGACGACTCTTTTGACCATGCCCTTCACTTCAAACCCAGCAAATGGAGTCCATTTGGCCTTTGAGTGCTTGGTCATCTCTGGAATGGTCCATTCTTTGTCCATGTCCACCTCGACGTAAGTGTTTTCTTGTGTAGGAAGTTTGAAGATGCGTTTCGGATTAGTGTACAATTTTGCAATTAAATCCTGTCACATGATTGGATGAAATGGCAAAAAGATCCGTAACATAAAACTTCATGGTTGCAGTTGCAATTTAAAAAGAATAGAACAAACATCAAGAGTGAGTCTCTCCTCGTTGACAGCAGTAAGAAGCAGAGGCAACATCGTCTCCAAGCCTGGAAAACCAGCAGGTGCATTCTCACTCAATTTCTCTTCCAGAGTGTGTGGAGCTAGTAGCGAGAAAATATTAATGACCAGCATTAAATCATTGAAGAGTTGTTACAAATTTATTCAATGATTGTCACAAAATCTAATTGCGCAAATCAGATCATCATAAACATTAAAAAGTAATTAAGTACCATGATCAGTAGCAAAGCAGTCGATGATGTTCAAATTGTCCCACAGGGCTTGTTGATCTTCAGGACTGACGAGCGACGGACGCACTTGGCTCTTCTTATCCCCCAACCTCAGTTTCGAGTCCTCGGTGGTCAGGAACAAATGATGTGGCGCCACCTCGCACGTGATGTCCAGGCCTATCCCTTTCGCTCTTTTAATTAACTCTATCTGTAACGATAGTCAACAATTTTTTAGCAAAAATTAAAAAAATTCAGAGCATTCGCTAAGAATTCAACAACTATTTTCTTAAAATGAAAATTTTCAAGAGATGCAAAATTTACAAACTAATTTAAATTCTACTTTTCAAAAATAATGCAATGAAACGAGAAACATCTATCTGTAAGTTATAATTAACTAAAACTATTGAAACCACAGGAATTGTTGTGATTAGGCTCAGCAGGCAGTGGAGTTGAGCAGCAGGTGTCAATCCCTTGCTCCCACCACACACTTATCAGAATATAGTCAGAAACAGAATTTTTTTTCTTCACAAAAACTTGTTACCAGCTAGGAATTCCAATGTTTTTCGCTGGTTAAGTCATAATCTTTTAAATTCTATTAAATAATAATAGTTATTGAAAGCGATAATTTATTTTGGAAAACTTCGCAGTGATGGAGCTAGTCTATCAAAAGAGCAACTTAAATGCAGCAGCACTTGCAGTTTACAAATTGATAAATGTTTAAAACTGTTTGCGATCCCCATTATCACTAATAAAAGAATGCATTGAAAGAGTTGAAAAACCTCTTCCTTCCTGGCTACGTGACAAATGTGGACGGGTCGCTTGTAGAGAGTGCATAGGTACAACACGGCTGCTATCGTCTGCTTCTCCGCATGAACACATATCAAACTGTCCTGAGGCCAGTTCTTGAAATGCTGTTAATTGAGATAGAAATAAATAGAACAGATGATCCACGTTGAAAACAAAATAACAAAACAGCAGAACGCACGTCATCCCATGTGGAGATTGAATCAAGTTTCAGTGTGGTGTACGTGTCGTTGAGGTACATCTTGAGTGCCACAGCTTGACTGGACAGATGTGGGATGGTCAGTGCATTTGAACTGTTTGCCCCAATGTACAGACCATAATCACATTTGGATTTTTTAGCACACTGTCAAAAGTTAAAATGATTTTAAAAATTCTGTTTAATAGTTATAAGTTTTTGAAATTTATTTCATAAATAATTTCTGGTTAAAATCTCTTTCCATGTGAAAAAAATGTTACACTGTTCATTAAACATCTTCAGCATTTCTTAATCCATTCCAGAATCTTCCAGTCATGTGACTTATCATTAGTTCTCCCATATCAACATCAATAATTTACAATATTATTCCATCTAAATTCATCTCAGCTTTCAAACTTTCATATGAAAAATAATAATAATAATCAATTCAAATGAAATTATGGCCGGTAAGAATAAATTCTGACTACACATTTTTTATGTAAATCTTTGAATGGAGATTGTTTAAACCGGAAGCAGTTCAGGAAATAGTTTTAAGAAGCAGACCAAGCAGACAAGTGAGTTCTAAAAGTCATCTTACTCTTTTCTAAACCCACGATAATTAAACAACATTAATAATTTAATAAAACAATCATTGTAGAAAGACCTCTTGGAAAAGACTGAACGTTTCTGGGTCGGTGATTGCAGGGGAGGTGTTGGGCATGCAGAGTACGATCGTCACACCGCCTGCCAGGGCTGCCGAGGTGCCCGATGAGAAATCTTCCTTGTGCGTCCCACCCGGCTCCCTCAAATGTACATGAACATCAATCAAACCTGTCGTAGCAGAGATTATTTATTTCATAGTAGCGATCAATCATCTCCTCAAACACAACCTCGAAAGAGCAGCGGTTAGAACATTTACTAATTCGTGCGAATTGAAGAAAATTATAATTATACCGGGAAGACGGACGAGAACTTTTGAGGACAAGCAGTCGATGACAGTTTTCACGGAAGGGAGGTCGGTCTTTTGTTCCTTCAGGTACTGGATAGACTGCCAAACGATGAAGATTTATTATCATTCATGTACTGCATGTACATAATTAATGCCGTTACCACTGAATATATTTAGCGTCCGTAAAACACTACATAAGAAGAGGTAAATTACCTGAATAAGCAGTTTAGTGCATTTGACATCGGTGATGAGAGGCACTGAATAATCAACTGCCATTCGACGCGTCCTGTAGCCCTGAAGAGTGAAAAGTAACGAAATCAACATCTATGATTCAAGACATATTAAAGTGCACAAAATAAGCATCCATGCTCATATATGATAACTTCATACATACTGCATTCACAATGCAGCAACAACAACACACGTTTAGACGACATTTTCCCCGAGATCGGGGGTTGCCGTTTGGCTACCTATGATGAAACCGAAATACCCCTCGACGCCATCCACATCTGTCACTCGCCTCAGTATCACGCAACTCCGCTTTCACTTTGTCCTTCTCCACCTGCTCTCTCCATCCCAATCGCGGACGACCTCTTCCTATCATTCCTTCAACCTCGAACTCCAACACTCGCCTTAATCCCGACCCTTTCATCCCTTCTCAACACATGCCCATACTACCGCAATTTCGATCTCCTTATCAATGTCACAATGTCCTCATTCAGTCCCATCCTCGACATCAGCTCTGTACTACTCCTCCTATGCTTCACTTTAACCCCACACATCATCCTCACCATAGCTCTTTCAGCCCTCTGCAGTACACTTTCCTCCTCTCTCCTCAACACCCAAGTTTCACCACCATATACCATCGCTGCTCTCACACACATTCACAATGCATGATAAAAAATATTTGAAAGAATATACAAATCAGGAGATTTTTTTAAGGTGTACACCAGTCCATGACAGGAAGTAGTAAGTAACCTGTGTTGTGTATGTAGACGAGTATCTAGAACCTCCCTCTCTGATGGGCAAGTTGACCACCAGGTCCAACTTGTTGTCAATCATCATGTCTACGATGGAGTTGTGGTTGAACGAGGCCCCCTGATTTGCAGCTTCTTCAAACGGCCAGTACACTGCTTCCACCTTGATGCTGTGAGCCTCGTAGAAATCTGCAGTGCCACTGCTCCCGTACAACTTGTAGCCCAACCTGTCCAGTGTTTGTATGGACTCCAACAACTCCATCTTTTGCTGTAATGTTCATATAAAACATGGAAGGTACGAAACATTAATTTATTTATTTCTTTTTGAACAGGATTGCACAAAAACAACCACTGCAAGCTAGGACAGGCTAACAAAGAATAGCAAAAAAGCCAAAAATAAGAAATGAAAACATTCGTGGAGAGGCATTCAAAATGATGTAAATGTACAAAAAACTCATAAAAACGAGACGTAATAGTTACCAAAAATATGAAAACAATAACTAAATAAACGAAATTAAATATGTGACTACAGATTTACATACACGACTTTACACTGTCATCATTATTATTGGATTAAAGAATCTTTTACAAAATTATGTCCAATAAATTAAATGGATTGAAATGCCAAGTGATAAAAAATTGGAACAATTCAAGAAGCAATCCCGTTAAATCGAATCTGCATATACATAAGAATGGATGATCAGTAATTACAAAACATTTGAACATCCAGCATCAATCACTCCTATTTTATTGGTTTGGCGATAGATCTGATTGCGTCTAAGAAAACTAATAAAAAATCAAAAATAATAAAGTTATTTGTATAAAATCACTTTGTAGCTTCCAATAGATAGTAGAATATTTTTTCTGGGAATTTTAAATCCTGAACTGATAAGTGCCTTGAGGTAGGCCTCGTACTTGTTCTCCCCAAAACATGCCACCTCCCCGGTGCTGGCCATCTCGACGCCCAACAAGACGTCTGCCCCCGTCAGCCGTGCAAATGAAAACACGGGAACCTACGATGCAAGTCATTTAATTGATTAAATTATTCATTAATTTATTTATTATAGCATCCAAATTATTTAGCTCCGTAGCTGCTGGCATTGGGATGATAAAATGGTAGAACACTTTGAAACAGCTAAATGAAAATTATTTGTAAATAAAAAAAAAAGGAATCCATTGGACTGTCCAAAATGGAAGCAGCAATCAACACAAATGAGTAAATAGAATTTTAAAAAATGTTTGAAACCTTCACTCCAACTTTGTTCCTCTGCAGCTTCATGAGGTCGGTGGCTGCTGGGTTCTCACCCATGATCACCTGAGTCGCCAATGCAATAAAGTCAAACTCAAGGGTTTTAGAGACAAAAGGAAATGACCTTGACACTCGAAGATTGCATTCGATGACTTTCAATTGATTATCCTGTGGACGAATCGCGTCGTTGTAAAGGTTAGTGAGCCATTGAATAAAATTAATAAAGAGAATCAATCAATAAAGAGAATGATTGAAGAGGTTAAGAGAAAAATATTGCAAAATGTACACCTTAGCAATGATTTGCAAGTTAAATGGACCAGAAACATTGAGGCCCCTGGCTATCCGATAACATATCTCCTGGATCTTCTCCATGGTCTCTTCATTGATGTCCTGTGGTGGAGTCATAAGGGAGGCATCTCCCGAATGCACACCAGCATTTTCCACATGCTCTGACACAGCCATACACAGAACTTCTCCTTTCCTGGCCACAGCATCCACATCTATTTCCTGCAACATGTATACATTTCATTTCATGTACTTGCACTCGTGTCCCTATCAGATCAACAACACTGACATGCACAGCAGCATGAGTTGAGCAGGTTTTCCTCACTGTATAGACAAGAAATGCAGAAGCAGAAAAACAAACCTTGGCCTCTAAGATGAACTTGGAGATGACGACTGGATGTTCTTTTGAAACATCGATTGCCTTGGTCAGGAAGTTATCCAGATCGTCGGTGCTGTATGCCACATTCATGGCAGCCCCGCTCAAGACATACGATGGTCGAACCAAACATGGAAAACCCACAGACTCGCACCAAGCTTTAGCAGTCTAATAAAGTTCATTAGATATTTTTAATGATGTGTCTGATGTAGAAAGAAAACAGCTTATTAGATTATTCAAACATTTTGATCAAAATGATTAATCATCAACTTTTTATTGAACCTACTCTAACACTAGAGTGCAATCATAGTTCAGGAAACATTTTTAATTATTCAGCAGTAAGTAAGGTTAAAGGTGGATTGAAATAATTATTATAACCTGCAGCTGTAACTTCTAAATATATGGAACAAATAGGGGTAATCATAAAAATCAATTTCTATAAAATGCAAATAATTTTTGGACAAAATGAAGTTCTGGCACTAACTAACGACTTTAAAGATGAAACAAAATGACAAGCGAATATACCTACCATTGAATAAGAATTAATCAGATCAAAATAAATTCATCTCACAGAAAACTTTTGAGTACAAATTGCTTGTAATAAAAATTATAATTTTTTAATTTTAAAACTGACTTCTTTATCCGTCAACTCTTTCCAAAGAGGTTGAGAGATTTGTTCGTTGTCTAGCATTCGAGAAAACTTGAATCTGTTTTCAGCCATATCTATGTTGTCAGGACTCGTTCCCAGAATCCTCACCTGGTTTGATGAGATTTATCAACAAATGTTCACATTGAATCTCGTGAGTGATTGATGCAACGAAAGACGAATGCACAACAAATCTTTACAAACTTTCTTGCGATGTAAGTCCATGGCAATGTTATTTGGAATCTGTCCACCCACTGACAATATTATGCCGGTTGGATTCTCCAGGTTATAGATCTCCAACACAACCTTACAAATTTTAAAAAGTTACAGCACTGAAAATGTAGCTCAGTGACTTTAGAATTCTCATCTTTATTCCGGAGAAGTATTAAATGAAGCTGAAAAGAGTGACCAACCTCAAAAGTGATTTCATCAAAGTAGAGTCGATCACACATGTCATAGTCCGTACTAACAGTCTCAGGGTTGAAATTCACCATTATCGTTTTGTGTCCCAACTAAAGGAAAGTTCAATGCAAAGGTCATTGAAGTGAACATAAGTGAGATTAGCACATAATTCAATTGCAGTAGACTTCAACGAAATTAGAACATATTTTAGGCAGACTCCATGCTACCAAGCATCAATTTATAAGCATTTTCAGGTTTCAAAAACTATCACAAATTGCTTGTGATTAGTATTACAATTTTTAAATTGATGACACAAAACAACTCTTTCAATGCTTCAACAGTCAATCTTATTGCTTTAGTGTTAATGAGAAATTTGCAAATAAGATTAATAGTCGGTCATGAATTCAGAACGAACGGACAAGAACAACAAAAAAAGAAGACCCACCTTCCTGAGCTCCTGTATGCACCCCACTGAGCACCAATCAAATTCAACACTGCTGCCAACTCTATAAACTCCCGAACCGAGGACCATGACGTGCTGTGCGTTGAAGTCGACATCATGTTCGATTCCACTGTAAGTGAGGTAGAGGTAGTTGGTGTGGGCAGGCCACTCTGCAGCCACTGTGTCGATCTGCTTCACGCATGGATGGATTGAGAACTCCTCCCTTTTCATACGTATCATCATCTCGGTGCTGCAACCGAAATGTCAAATAAAAAATCTTCTAAATGAAACAAGTGGGAAGAAATGACGTGCTGACGTAATAATAATTAATACAACAAGACATAATAAACAACATTACCTTTTCACAGATCTGGCAACTTGCTTATCTGAGAATCCGAGTTGTTTTGCTTGCAAAAGGATTTCCCTTGTAAGGCCCTTCAACTGCACGAATCAAAAAGTTCAATCACCTTAACAAGTTAGCAAGTTACAATGGATATAAGTGTTCCAAAATAATGAATGAAATTGAACGAAAATTTTGAAAATAGCAAAAAAACTTGACATTAACATTTACTGTCTAACAAAAAAGTTAATTCAAAGACGGCAAAATCTAACGCAAATGTGACTAATATGCAACTGAGTTCAATCTTATGCAAGGAGGAGAAGGAGACATGCACAACATAGTGTATAGTTGACATATGTCAGCCTATGCACAGAGCATATGACAAGCAGGGATCTGTTTGCATTCGAAGTCAGTCACCACAATGCAAGACCCAATGTCTTGGGCCTGGTGTCATCATCTTATTGCCCAAATATGAAATTACAGTGTGATGATAAAAGCAATGTGAAACGAACCTCCAAGCTATCAATAAATTTATGAAAGTTTGCAATTTTTCTGAATTTATGAAGGAACCATTTGTCAATCTTTGTGAGTTCGTGCAGACGATCATCTGTGTAACCATTCCTAAAACTGGCTGCCAGCACAAACATTCGCTGGTCGGTCGGGTTTTCCAAATCCTGACAGAACGAAATTAACAAACTGAAAATTTAATTAATTTTCACAGAGCAGAATGTCATCTGCTTGTCATTCAAGTACGATTCGCAGACATAATAAGTTTAAATTAAATTAGAGACAAATAATAAAAACGTGAATGAAAACTTTTGCACACTCAAAAACATGTTGAAAATGTTATAAAAATTGACAGGCACGAGAAATTCAAACTCGTGAGAAGAAAACAAATGGAGTGAGACAAACTGAAGCAGACAAGGACATAAAAATAAGAGAGAATAAGTAAGACCGAACAGTTGAATTAAGTTGAAATAATTGAGTAAATAATGTCAGAACAAGAAACCTCGTCATTTGCAGTCTTAATAGTTGGATCAAAGCCATCCACTTGTTCATCGACCATCCTCAGAGCCTTCTGAAATGCCTCTTCAAATTTGCGACCAATTGCCATGACTTCTCCGACACTCTTCATAGAGCTTCCTATCTATCAGCACACAAAACATTGAAGAATTTGTATGAATCACATCACTCAATTAACTAAAAAAGAAAATTTTAAAAGTCAAATGAAACATGTCAAGTCAAAATTCCGAATCTGACTTTTAGATAACATAAGAACATTAGTACCAACCTTATTATTCACTCTCGGGAATTTCCTAAGATCCCATCTAGGAATCTTAACAACGCAATAATCCAAACTGGGTTCAAAGCAAGCAGTCGTGGAGTTGGTCACACAGTTTCTCAGTTCCCTCAGTGACATGTTCAATGATAACTTGGCTGCTACGTAAGCCAGTGGGTAACCAGTTGCCTTGCTGGCCAGTGCAGAACTTCGAGAGAGACGAGCATTTACTTCTATTATGTAATACTGGATTAAATATAAACGATAATAATCTCAAATTATTCAATTAAAAATATTTTCTTGAAAACAAAAAAAAAAAATTGCCTCATGCGAGTGTGGGCAAAGAGCAAACTGCACATTACATTCGCCAACAATTCCAATGTGGCGAACAATTTTAATGGAAGCAGTTCGAAGCATGTTGTATTCATAATTGGTGAGTGTCTGACTCGGAGCTACAACTATTGACTCTCCTGTATGAATGCCCAGAGGATCAACGTTCTCCATGTTGCACACCTGTGTTCATTTTTATATTCATATGTTCAATTCAAATTTTGAATTTGCTCCACACAATTCATTTATCACTTTGCTGCCCTAACGGGTCAGGGTACGCAAAGTTTTTAAACATAATCTTCGTTTACCATAACCCAAACGACTTCAAAATAATTCTCAAAAATTATAAAATATTTCAAACGCCATAAAAATAGGATAAATATCTAACAGTGAGGCAGTTGTCATATGCATCTCTGATGACTTCGTATTCCACTTCCTTCCAACCCTTCACAGATTTGTCGATCAGCAACTGACTGGTGTGGGCGAAGGCCACTGTAGCTAAACTAACCAAATCTTCTTTATTCTCTGCAAACCCAGATCCAAGTCCTCCAAGAGCAAACGCCGCCCTTATCAGAACAGGGTAGCCTATCTTTTCTGCTGCTGCTATTGCCTGATCACAAGACAGTTTAATAATTTCATAATCGCGTAATAAATGCAAGATGGTTTTATATTTGCATGAAACATGAAAAATAATAATTTAAATAACCAATTTATAATAATATTAGTGCACGTAAATTAGGCAAAATTGGAATTTTCATCAAAGTTAATGTTTAGAGATGAGTGTGTGCATAAACTGAGAGAAAATTGTATTCTTATACACATACGAATATTAAGAGTGCACCATAAACAAAATCAAAATTACAAAAATTATTAATTTAAGAAGGCCAATAGACAAACCTGCTCCAAAGTATCAACTGCCTCGCACGGCGCAACCTTCTCCCCAATCTTGAACATCTCTTCAGAGAAAGTTTTCCTATCTTCAGTCCATTCAATGGACATGACAGGAGTTCCAAGGACATTGACCTTGTATTTGTCGAACACGCCAGCATCATTCAACTTGACTCCACAATTCAGTGCTGTCTGACCTCCGAATGACAACAAAATCCCATCTGGTCTCTCGTTCTTAATCACCTGGAAGTTTATTAAACTTAGCTAAATAACTGCAGCACAGTTTGAAAATTTCTTAAAATTATAATTCAATTTTAGCAACTTTAATCAAAAACTCTGCTCTATTCTAACATAGAAAATTTTAAAACACAAAATTAATGATTGAAATCGGATTTCAATGTTTCACTCTATAAAACAACTGACGACAACACAAAAAGATGATAAAATGGAAGAACAGTAGAGGAACCTCTGTAACATATTCTGGAGAGATAGGCAGGAAGTAAGTTTCATCAGCCATACCTCTTGACGTCTGCACCGTTGCAATGTTCGGATTTATGAGGACTGTATGAATGTTCTCCTCTTTCAGAGCTTTGATGGCCTGCACGTAAAATGTAGAGTCGCACATGCAAGCGTACTATAAAACATTGCAAGATCATACCATCTGTTATTTTGGTGTCATAAAAATAAGCAACTAACAGTTCTTCAAAGCGAATACTATAGGTATTTTTTATTGTTGCTGAAATATTATTACAGTTTAATAAAATGTTTGTTTGACAGTTTTTTTAAGTTTATACATTTAATAAAGTGCAATTATTAAGTTCCTTCCTGTCAAAAATTAGTTTAAAATAATTTAAGCAATTGTTGCAACAATCAGTCATAATGTTACTTCTGAATATTTTATAGAACAGGCATCAGTATTTGAATGAACATTGTTTCATCATTTATGCCATTTTGTTTAATTTTGTTTAATATTTATTTATTCATTCATTTACTTATTACATTTCGACTTAGTTGCTTTTCCATTCACAAATTAACTCAATAACTTATAATTTTCTTATATATATATGTCACTCATCTATTACCAAACCTCATTGTAATTATTTTTTCATTGTATCATATTGTCATATTGCATGTTGTAACCGTGTGATTTTTTTAAAATGTAAAATAATTATGTTTGCTCACAAAGAATTATTAATTGTAAATTTTTTAAAAAGTGAAAATAAGGATGAACAAATGGAAGAAAAATGAGAGCAGATGAACAAAAGATTAACAGGGCAGACCTGAGAGCCAGAGTAATCAAACTCTCCTGCCTGACCGATTGAGAGGCCCCCACTGCCGAGAATCAAAACTTTCTTCGGACGAACGAAAGGAACATTCATCTCTGGAGGTTTGAATCGAATTTTCAACTGTTCTCTCAATGATGGCCTGGAAGGATAATTAAAAAAAATAATTAATAAAATCGAGCAAAACAAATAAAAAATTAGAAAATATTAGCAGCCCGAAATTACCCTTCCGTTTTTGAGCGTTGTTGTTTGATAGCATCAATGAAGACATCAAACAACATCTCCAGATCTTCGGGGCCTGACGTGTGCTCTGGATGGAACTGCACACTGAAAATTAAAATTTTTATTTAGATGCACTTGTATTTAAACAATTGTTATGCAGTTTATCTATCAGTCGAGATCACAACTGCATGAATTGAAAAAATCAAAAGTTAAATTAAACTTAAAATTAGCTGGAACACTGTTCATAAGCCAACAACGAAAAGAAACATCTGAATACATGCAACAGTATAACGGCCACCCAAAACATTCTCTTAGATAAAAATGTTTAAAGAGATGGTTGATCTTATATTTCAGATTACTAATAGCTTGAGGAAGATCAAATCAGAAAAAAAATTTCAAGTTCGGTTTGTAACTCCCAGTGTTTTAAACATACCCTCAACAATGGAATGATTAGTTTGCTATTTATCTGTTGTTTATTTATTAAGGGTGTTATATATATTTCTATCAAACAAAAAAAACAACAGAAAATTCTACATAACAAGACGAATGTTGAAACGATTTTACAAAATAACCTTCTTTAATGATTCAAGAAGTGTTAAAATTCTGCTGTGAGCAATCTTATCGTCAAGCAGATTAAATTTAGTTGAATAAATCCAAGTAAGATAAAAAAAAGTAGCAGACCTGAAGAATGGCTTCTCGTTGTGAATGATGCCTTCATTTGTTTTGTCATTTTCATTTATAAAGAGAGCAGACCAGTCAGAAGATAGTGTACCGGCATCTATTGCAAAGCCATGGTTCTGTGATGTAATGAAACACCTTCCAGTATCAACGTGAGTGCAGGGCTGATTGTGCCCTCGGTTGCCATATCTGCAGGAAACCACCCATCCCATCAATACAGTCAATTGACTTTAAATAACATAACATGACAACAGCACAAGGTGCAAATTATATTTTCTAAATATTCTTGCATGCAATATTAAAAAAGTTCATTAAGAAGCTCTAAATTAAAATAAAGCTTTGCTACTTTGCTAATTTTATTGCTCTTGAAACAACAAATTGAACTAGGAAGAAGATATAACAACTTGAAGGTTACAATGTGAAAATGGAATTCAATTACTTCATTTTGAACGATGTTGCTCCAGCTGCCAATGATAGCAATTGATGTCCCAGACAAATGCCAAAAACGGGTTTGTAATTTTGTTCCTTGAGAACCAATTTCATATTTTCTACAAGTTCTTTCAACAACTCAGGGTTTCCAGGACCATTACTTATGAAGAGGCCGTCATATTCTAACAGATATAATATTTAGTATGAATAATTTTTATATTTTTATACTTATTTTATGAAATTCAAAAATAAATTACACAATAGATGATGTTATATTGTTGATAAAACAATACATGGAGTTACACTACAATGTATGACATTATTGAAAAAATTTGTCTTTTACAAAGAGAGATGAACCTGCACTGGTGAATTTATAATTCCATGGCACAACTTTAACTGCGAGACCTCTCTTGCACAAACATCTGATCTGGTTCAGCTTGATTCCACAATCAACTACCAACACTTTCAATGGTGCATCTTCATTGTAGAACACTGGATCCTAGTAAAATGTTCAGCATGTAAAAAAAATGCTAAAGAATCAAGCAAAACACATGTATAGCATTGCTGACAGCAATAAATTTAAAATAAAACACTTTTGCCATAGAAAACTAATTGAAAGTTCAGATTTAAAGAATAATAATTTTAGTATAAAAAATATATCAAAATTCAAATATAAACACTAAAAAAAAGCGATTAAGTGGTCTCTATACAACATTTGTTCTTATTTCAGTTGTTAACAGTAGAAGGGCCTTTGAAAATAAGTAAACCAACAAACCTTGATAGAGACAAGATCTACTAAATTGATGATGTTCGGATCAACAAAAGGCACACTATCAGGGTTCTTTCCTTTGCCTATAACTATCTAAAAACAATATTTCAATGACTTTTGATTAATTTGAAAATTACAAAGAATTAATAATATCACTTCAAAATTAACATTCAGTTTTCATTGTGTCATGATATGTGCTAAAACACAAAAAGACAAAAAAAAATTCACTCCAATTTTCTGCTTTTACTAAATGGATAGCTTTAATCAAGACTTATACAAAAATTCTAGTGGGGCAGCAAATAGGGATAGCAACCACAATAACATTTATAATTTATTTTGTATCTTTAAATAACCCATTTTGTATCTTTTGGACTGAAAAGTTATTATCACCAATTAAAAATTCCAATATCCAAATCAACTGTAATTAAAAGCACTTTACTTTTCCAAGCATGGTTCCTTTTTCTCTGATTTTCTTAGTCAGAGCTCTTGTGTCGATGCCTAGTAAAATTAAACAAACAACTCTATTACTATTTCAATAGAAAAAATAATAAAAAACATAATTTAGTGAAATATATTAAAAACTAACCAGAAATGGCAGGGATTGATTTTTCACAAAGCCATTGGTTGAGTGACTTTACGGCTTGCCAGTGGCTGAAATGGTCTGTCTGATCTGCTACAATTAGAGCTGCTGCATGAATTTTTGTAGATTCGAACCATCTAAGAAGACCAAACTCATCTTTATCCTCATTTGGCACTCCATAATTTCCAATCAGTGGATACGTCAAGACCAGAAGTTGTTTGCAGTAAGAGGGGTCAGTCAGGGACTCCACATATCCCACCATGCCAGTTTGGAAAACTGTGGTGCAAAAGCAAAGACCATTTTTTTTCACATAATAATCCAAAACCATAATTATAATATATGATGATACCAAAATAATTATTTATATTGAATCAACTTGAAACATGACAGTTTATTGGTTAAAAAATATTCTTAAATTATTTTCAATTTAAGAAACAAATTTGTTCCAACCTACTTCCCCGGACACATCCACTGAGGCACCAAAAGCATCACCATGAAAGCAACTGCCATCTTCCAAGTACAAAGTGGCAGACATATTTTTTTCCTATGGATCAATTGAAAAGATCATAAAAAATTTTGATGCAATACATTGCAATGCCCCAACTAATCAAATAAGAATAAATGCATTAGCATATTTAAATTTGAAAATTATAAAACCTACAAAAATGCATAAATTTTAAAAAAATTAATCACAAAGACACTAACAAGCCTATAACTTTTGTATTCTCAGTTGCGAATAAATATTCACCACAAGATACAGCATCCCAGCACTCATACAATTACATTGAATGGCAATGATTATTGTTAGAATGTGAGTTATTTTGAGATGAGCTGCTTAGTGTGCTCAGTTGAAAAACATTTAAACACCATGTTTCAAACTTCACTCAACTTAAAAATCAATTAGCAGTTAACTCCAATATTTGGCTAAAGTCTTTGTAGTGATGAACGAACGAATTAGCCAAAGGTTCTTATTTTGTCTAATATATTTGAAGTAAAACAGTTGAAACAAGAATGTTGGTAGGATTGTTACAGCCATATTTCACAACCATAATATAAGCAATATGAGAATGGCAGAAGCTTTAATAATAGAAAATAGAAACCCGACAATAAATATCCAACAATAGGCTGTAACAATCTTAGCAACAAATAAATTACTCACACAGAGAAACAATGGAACTTTGAGTTACTTTGTTAAAAATACTGTAAATACCAGATGAACAATGTACATATAACAATATCACAAACTCTATTACACCGATGATGGTAGACAACGTAAGTTGTCGCACGTTGGCCGACAAGATGGCTCAGTGGTTCAAATGCAAGTGGTGTCAAACATCTCAATGGCTATCATATACTTAGCGTATATGATGTGATGCTTGCACATGCACATAAATACATGTGTTTGTCGTGTGAAAAGGATAAACAGCCTTTTTAAGGCGATGATGGCTGCATCAAATCAATGAAGAACGATATGAAAGAACATAATAAAAGAAATATAGATAATATACATATTGTAAGTGGTTCTGTGAATGTCAGAGCTGCAATAATATAGACTAAAAAAAATGGTGAAGGTTACCGAAAAAAACTTATATGTAAATGAAAAATGCAGTCTAAAATAATTAGAAATTTTTTTATTATTTTGAATAAATTGAACAATATCGAAAAATTGAAAAACTTAGTTACAAACTCAACAATGTGGAAAACGCGGTGATATTTCTTAATAACGAAATAAATAAATTTCACACAATGGAGAGAATCAGATGGAAGCAAGAAGAGAAGATGGACACTACACTGGTTTAAACTTTAAAGTTTTAACTTTAAGATTTATATTGATTTATTTTAGAATGAATGTGTTTGGGTGTGTGGACACACAACACACACATGATTTGATCATTAAACACGTGTGTTCTGCTTATGAAATTTTTTGGAATTTAATGATCATTTCAACAATCTGAATTTGAATACAATACACAATACTAGAATATCTGTCCCAGCAACTGCAACAACCGGCAACCACAACACGTGTCATCCAAAAAAACCAGTCATATATATATTATATATATATTATAATAAATTTACTGTTACGCATTGGCACTGTAAATGATACTATCATAATAAATAAATTGATAGATAAATAACTAAACAATAATACTAACGATCATGACTTTGCGAGCGAATAGTTAAATATATTTATATTTACTTTTAGTCTAAAGCTTTCAGACAATGAAATCCAACGGACATTACGCGCTATTTAAAAGGTAAGATAAGTTACCTCAGAAAGATTTAATTGATAGATACCATGGATATATATAATACACATATCCATGATAGATACAGGTATATATATTTTTATATTTACAATATTCTATAAATTCTACCGAATGTTTGGCGTTAATATGTTTGTAGTTCGTTTTTTCAATTTTTCTCACTAAAGTTTTTTGGTGAACGTTTAGTTTATTAAAATTCAAAATAAACTTATTTTCCGAATTCATGCTACAAATAAGGCCATATTTCGATTCCGAATGAATCATCATCAGTGCTTTCTGCTGTTTATATAGGGAAATATTGACTTTGTCAAAATGAACTTAAATGGAGATTGACTTTGTCAAAGTGAACTTAGATGGAAATTAGGTATCAGGTTTCTTTATTGGCTGGTCATCTTTTTTGGTCTCCTTTTCTTCATTGATAGCATCATATTCTTCTTTGTCACTATTTACAATGCTAGTTTTTATTACTTCTTTGTTTTCGTTGTTGGTTAAGCGCCGGGTTGGAAGTGGGGTTGCCATTTTTTTGTATATTTATTTTTGGTTTATTGATATCAATTAAGACTGCTTCTGCAATTTTAAGATGCGTGTAGTTGCTGTTCTGGTATATTACTTTGGTGTTACTCTCGAGGCTAATAGTGATTGAGTGTGTTGAGTCCAAATGAGATTTGATAGCACCACCACTCAACACTGAACATGTACTTACTCGGATATTTTTCATCCGACTTTGACACTGTTTAAAACATACAAAATATACATGCAAAAGATTGCCAAAATCGATTGCGGTGTTAAACAGAGCACAATTTAATGAGCTAAATAGGTCTCATCAGATGGTAACAAAATCAAAATATAAAGATCAACTAACATTTTATACATTAAAAATTGAATCAGTGTTTACTTTCTAGTCTTAATATTTGTATGTTTTTTTATTCAAACAATTAAATTATAAATTATCGGCAACAACATTTTATGACTATTATATAGGTAGCAAAAGTGCAAGACGAGCAAATTACATCACAGCAAACAGTTCCGGCGAGTTAGCTCTTTCAGTAGCTCTTTCATGTTTCGTGCAGTTACGGGATGGCCTGGTTCGAATACTGCCGGTCAAAACTTAAAGACTATCATACGTCATCCGCGCATGATGCGGTGCTTGCGCGTGCATACATAATGTGTATGTACGTCGTCTGGTGTGGATAGCACAGTCTTCGTGGCACGGAAGTTTAAATACAGGGATGATATGTAAGCGGTTTTGCGTAAGTCAAAGCTGAAAAAAGTCAAAGAAAAAAAATTCCAAGACTGATCTTCTTTATCATCATTAACGAGAAATTGGAACAAAATTTTAAAAGAAGGATTTTAATATCAACAAATTTTCCTGTCAAATTTCAAGGACAGATTTAATTTCCATTTAATTGCATCATTCTAAAAAACTGAATTGTGTGTTACTGTGCGTGAATGTGTATAAATAAACGTATGTGAACAACTGAGCATGTAGCAATGTGTACCCCTATAACTTGGTGTGAATTTGATATCAATTAGCTAGCTAGCTAGTGCCAAAAAGGTCATGAATTCGATATAAACTGCTTATCTGTTCACAAGCTAATAGTGTGTTAATGTGCACGAGTTGAGTATAAATGTATGTGAACACGCCTGGCGTAAATTTGATATATTAAACTATTAACAGGTAAACTAGCTGATTTATTTATGTTGAATAACATAACGCACCAATAGGTACCTTATCAATGATTTTGTTATCTATATTATACCGAGTTGTATAAATGAAGTGAGATTATATAAAAAATACTGGCTTTGCTTTTTTGATTAAATTTATCTTCTATTCCATCGTATTAATGAATGAATAAAATGAATGAGTAAATGAATGGATGAATGAATAAAAAAAATGAACGAATGGATGAATAAACAGATAAAATGAATGAACGAATGAATGAATGAACCAATCAATTAAATTTATATAGCCCAATTTATAAATAATTCTGGGCTCACCCTAAAACTCGCTAAACGAAGCAATACAAATAAAATAAAATAAGAAGTAAAATAAACAAATAAAATGAGGAAAAAAGCGTAGGCTACGTTCATTTCTGCTTTTTATATTCATGAATATATTATAGAATGAATAAAACTATTGAAACATTTAAATAACAAGCACTCCAAACTACTGAAACGATTACTAAATTAATGATAAAATAACAGGATAAGGTATCAAACAAAGAATCATTCAGTTCAATTAAAAATCAACCAATAAAATAATTTAATTCTCAAATTAAACAAAATAGACCATAAAGCAAACAAACAATCAATCAAAAAATGATCAAATAATCGATCAAGCAGCAAACCAACGAATGAAACAATATATCAACAAATAATCAATCAAAATATTTCTCAAAACATAAATGATAAACCCAACAAACAGCAAAAAATCAATAAAACAATAAAGAAAAAAAAATCAAGTAATAAATTAAAAAATGGATAGAAAAAATACAGCAATCAATTAACACAAGCAATAAATCAACAAAACAAATATATAATAATGGTTATAAAAAATAAACAATTAGTTAAATAATAAATAAGACAAGTGAAAGATGGAAGGTCTGTTACACTCTGCCTAGGTTCATAGGAATCAACCACACGCCACAAACATCGTACATGAATATGCGCTAAACGACGCTTCACACACAAAGCATGTGATAAGCAGGAACCTTTTTGTCATACTCGATTTGAACGCGATGACTGCACGTACTGTGAAACAGCAGCAGGCGACCTTAACCACTAGGCCACCACGCCGCCCAGTTTATAAAAAAAACGCAAAATTAATCAAACAAGCACACAAAATTAAACAAGCGATACACCAATAAAGTAAATGTATAAAAAAATCAATTAATAATCAAACAAGCATGGAAAGACACGTACAAATAATCAATAAAACGAGTATTAATTCGATAAAGCTAACGTCTTCTGAAAATCAAATAATTAAACAAACAAGCATAAAAAATCAAAAAAAAGCAACCAAACAAGCAATAAATAAAAAAATATCAAAGTCAAAAACGGCATACAAAAAAATCAATTGGTCAATTTAAACAAACGACGAAAATATCTTTTAAAAAATTTAATAAAACAATTTAACAGCCAATAAATTCAATCAACAACATTCATATATAAAAGTTTAAACAGAAATTTTAAAGCACAATTTTCGGTTTAAAATGAAATTTTTTTAAACCTAGACCCTTTCCTTAACCCAGTGGTTTTTTGGGTTGAAGTTATTATCATAATATTAACATAAATCGCCCATTCGAAAAAAGTTTATATTTAAGTTTAAAAATGTTGCTGTTGTCCCAAAAGTCTTGAATAATCTTTGTAGGTCTCTGCCTGACCTAACTCTGACCATTTTTCCGTTTGAAAACGTATTAAAGACATCTATTTTGTTGTATGCATTGCATTATAAATTTGTAGAGAGCTTCTATTGATTGAGTTATCTATTGAGGCGCTAGTATGATGGTGTTTGGTGATGATGTTTTATTCTGATATATGATGTTTGGTAAACTACGAGTAACAACAACAACAATAATAATAATAGCTACTATTAATTATTAATAATTCTTCGACGAGCATTAAATGCTCGGTATGCTTAAGAACCATTCTTGCTACCTTTGTGGCATTTAATATTGGAAAAATATTTTATTTTCTTGAAACAACAAATAAGGTGAAAAAGATAAAATGAAGAAAATCTAAAAGAGTGTCTTTATAATTATAAAATGAAGTGTTTAAATAAAGTAATTGAAATGTACGCCTGTACGGTCCTCCTATGCTCATTATCATTGATAATAAAATATATTTAAAATGGTAGCACGAAGCATTGTTTCTATCACAATTGATTCCACTTGACAAGCTGATTGCGGCTTTTTCAAGTTTTTTATCAAAAGAAATAGGCCATACTATTGTAAATAGTGATAAGTTAAAATTGTTATAAATACTGATTGACGATATTTCAAATGAATTGAGAATAATAGATTATTATTATTATTATTAGTTAGTCAAATAATATTAAATACTGGTGTAAACTTTAAGAGATTACACAGATAATTTTTGTTTACGGCGACTAAAATCTAATATTCAGCATAAAAAATCTTCACAATTATCATATCTAAGTTTTTAGTCCTTCACTAACATAATGGCATTCATAATGAATACCTAATACTTGTAATTTGACAATTATAGTGAATTTTTATGAGCTTTGTTAGATTTTCATTTAACGGCTTTTAATAGTGGCAGTTTAAAAATCCTGAGTGAAACCACATGACAAACGTTTTTGATTGATAAAAAATTTAAAAAGAATTTTATTGATTTCAAAAATATTGATAAATTAATTCACACGTATATTTTATTCTAATCGGAATTTGTTTTCAACATAATAATTAAAACCTCGTTGTAACATTTTATGAGTCGATTTGAATAAAAGTAACACATGGTTCAACCTCTGACCTGTGCTGGAACCACATGGCTAGGCATTCGCACAGTATATTCGATAATAATAATAATAGTCAGTAATGCTATATACCCATGTCCTCTGACCTCTTCTTGGCTAGGTATTCGCACAAAGTAGGTATTCGCACATTAGTGGTATATATATATATATATATATATATATATATATATATATATATATATATATATATATATATATATATATATTATATAATATATATAAGAGTTCTAACATGCGAAGACTACAAATTCTTTTATTCATTCTTTTCCGTAATTAATTTTTATTTTCAAACAAATTCTTTAACAGCGCTGCTCATTTATCGCTCCTAAAATTTCTTTGTAGCTTGATATTCTGCTCTGTTTTTGAGCTAATTTAACAAATCAAAATAATGTCTGGAGATGTCAATGTGGAGGAAGATGAAGTCTTGGATCCCAGGATTAAAGTGAGGCTTAATTAATTTAAGTTTTAATTCATTTAAATGTGATAAATTTGTGTTTTATTTATTGGTTTATTAACGATTTTATTGTTTTTTTTAACTTCGTTTTTCATTTTTACTTTTACCTTGTTGAAGTTGAGTAGTTGATGGTGATGGCCAAATAAATAGTGAATTATTTCGATTTCGTGTTGGTTGATGGTTGATCTATGTGATTTTTTTTTCTACAGGATGAGTTGGAGGCATTGAACAGTGCTGCTGATAGTATCAACAAACTTGAAAATGAAGTTCAGGTTTTTAAAAATTATTGTTATATTAATTGATTTTTAACCATAATGTTAGATTAGCATTAGAGTAGGAAAGAAAACTTAAAAATAAAAACTAATAATAATAATGAATAATAAACTAATTGCTAACCTAATCTGACATATTATTTGCTCTATTTTTTTCTATCAATAGATATGAATATTAATTGTATTTACAATTAAATTAAATTAAATATTAAATTTAAATATCATTGAAAACTAAAAAAGATCATTATTTATTCTATTAATTTAATATTATTTAATTTAAATACTATTGATCCCATATTTTGTTGAAAGTGCTTCTTAATCTTACGTTTATATTTTATATTCTATATTATTGTTCCCAATAATAAAATAATTTACATTTATATTTTATATTGAATTAGATTAGAAGGTCAATTGGATATAAATATTAATATATATTAAAATATAAATTCATAATATTCATTTATTGATATAGTCTATTTATCATCTATATATATATATATATATTTATGACATCTGTGTATTTCAATTTCTGTTTCAATTTTTATTTTTATTTTTATGCATTAATTAATTAATTAATTAATATAATTTATAAAACATTAAAAACATTTAAATTTAAAATTAAAAAAAGGTTTTAAATTTGTTTTTAAATTCAAAATTGTTTAATTCTTCAGAGAGCCAGATCAAATTTTAGAATACAAAAAGCCGAATGTGTAGAGCATTTAAATCAACTTGTAAAAAAAATTGGCAAGAGGTTTATTATAAAAGCAAGACCTTACTACGAATTCCTTAAACATGTACAAAAGGTAAGTAGCATTTAATTAAACTGTTTATAATGCTAATGTTATCTTTTAACTTTAACTTTTAAATCAGCATTTGTTTTTATACATTTTTTTTTAATTTGTGAATAAAAAAAATTTCTGAGTGATAGAGACATGAGTTATCTTGATATTTCATTCTAAACAACTTGTAGCTTCAGTTAGAAACCCAAAAAGTAACAGCCAATTATCAAAAAGCCAACAGTATTTATAAAGCAGCCCAAGAAACGGTTACATTAGCTGAAGAGCGATTGGTTGGTGATGATGGTGACAAACTGGCATTTGATGCTGCTTGGCAGGAAATGCTCAACCATGCCAACCGAAGGGTTATTGAATAAATTGATTTTTTCTCTTGATGTTCATTTGTTCATTGTGCCATCACATCACAGTTCATGGAAGCAGAAAATGAAAAAAGAATATGTGAGTCTGAACATCAAAGATGTTCCAAAGAGTTTGAATCAATGCAGCAAAAATTGGCTTTTATGCACAAAGACTTAGGCAGAGCCATTTCCAAATCAAAGTACTTTTTTAAAATTATTTTTTGTTTTATATTGCAACATTTTTATATTTATATTACAATTTTAATGTTGTGAGCGTTATAAAGTATTCATTCTTCAGTGCATAGTTATATAAGATATCAAGCCAAGACCAGCTGCTTGCAATTAGTTTGTGTTCCTGAACATTTTGTAAATCTTCTGAATTCCACCTACTATATGTTGATCTGTATATTTGTATACTACTGGTGCAATGGCATTTGTAACACAGAGCTTCAATAACTTTATTTAAGTTTCATTTATCTAAATAATAGCATCAAAGTGCATGCACACTCACTCAGTTGTTTGATTGAACATATGTGCAGGCCCAAAAGATACAAAATTAAATTTTGATTATGCTAATGTCACCATCTTTTCCCTGATTTTAAGATATTTCAATATTAAAGAATGACAACATTTTTTATAACATTATTATAAATCCTTTAATCAAGTTTTAAAATATATTAATGTTGTCACATTTAAGGCCATTAACAGATTTTAGTTAAACCACAACCAACCATTTTATAAAAATATAAATGAAGACACTAAAATATATTATTGCCTATCTGACCGACTATTTTGTGATGATATCTGAATATGATTGGATAGCACAGAATGGCTGGAAGATATTTATCAAAACAAGGTTAAAAATAAAACCAAATTAAAAAAATCTTTTGAAGTTTTTTTATCAAACGTAAAAGAATAAAATTATTTTAAAATTTGATTAGTCAAATGACATTTACTTTGTAGCAAATGCTAGAAAATACAAAGTGGTTGTAACAACAATTTGGAGTTGAAAAAACTGGAATTTTTTTTAAAAGAGGTGTGACTACACAGTTGCACAGCATTATATCCCACGTTTTTTTAAACACATCTTAAACTAAAATTCTTCATAACATTTAAAATTATTAGTTAGGGAACAGACAGACAGTTGGAAGCAAGTTAAACAAATATACAAATAAGAAAATAATAGAAAGCTTTGTGTTCTCAACATCTGCACTTCTTTGTGCGCTTGAATCTTGGACAAGATAGAGAGGAACTGATAGGTCAGAAGCATTTGAAATGAAGTGTTACAGAAAATTGAAAAACGAACTCACATGTAGCTAGCTTGGAAACATTGAACTAAATATGGAAGCCGCAGTTTGAAAACTGCAACTCTTGGAATGTATTCATCTTCAAAAGGCTGAATGACAGACTATGTTTTGATTAACGAGGAAGAGAAAAGTTTGAAAACTGCAACTCTTGGAATGTATTCATCTTCAAAAGGCTGAATGACAGACTATGTTTTGATTAACGAGGAAGAGAAAAGTAGAAAGGTCTGCCAAGAAACGGTGAGATGATGTTACAAAATGGACTTGGGTGAGAATATTGAATTTGAAAGATAGAATAAGATTTTTGAATCAACTAGAAAGGTTAGACGCTGTCAGTATTAAGAGTCACTCAAAAAATTCAATATTTGTTTTTTATTTTTATTTATTTATTTTTTAATTTTTTTTTTATATTTATTATAAATATTTATTTGTTTTTAATAATTTACATAATTAAACAGGCCTTTCTATGAAACCAAAAAGAAATATGAAAATAAACTCCAAGTTTGTCTTTTTTCAGTCAATTAATGCTGTTCTTTTGTCTGCTTGTGAGGCAAGCTTGATTTACATTGCATTGTTTACATCTATTTAATAATCCATCTTTCCATTGAATGGGTAAAACATATTTGGATATTAAAAATACTTTATGAAAAGAAAAATATTTATCACGATATATTAACATAGCAGATTTTTATTTGTGTTTGAAATTTTTATGATATGTTATATGAATAATGTATTAAATAATATATTAATAATTTTTGGATTTCCAGGCAGAGAGGCAGAATGCAGAAGACTTACAGCTTGCTTTGATCTGCTGCAAGCAGAAATACAAGATGGCGTTATCAGGTTTGGAGCGAATCTCTGAAGAAATCCACATGCAGAGGAAGGTCGACTTGTCAGAACGCACCCCTGGAGTTGGAGCTGAGTCTGATGCTGCCAGTGATCTCTCTGATTTGCAGTCTATTAACTTTGGAGGTTATTTCATTTGTTCCTAAAATAGTTTCAAATATTCAGTAAGGATTCTGATTGGAGGCAATCTCAATGGCCACGTTGGAGAGAAAACAGATGGTTTTGACAACGTACATGGCGGTTTTGGCTATGGAAAACGGAATGAAGATGGCAACCGCATCCTTGAGTTTGCTGAAAGTCACTGGTTTTGTTTACTGAACACATATTTTAGAAAGAGGTTGGAACATCTCATAACATACAAAAGTGGACCATCAGCCATGCAAATTGATTTCTTCGCTGTCAAGCAACAACATCGAAGGCTATTCAAATACGTCAAAGTTATACCTGGCGAATCATGTGTCGCCCAACATAGACTCCTTGTGGCAGACCTGGTTGTCGAACTGTCAAAACATAAGTCTAAACAAATGCCTCGGAGAATCAAAACGTGGAAGCTGAAAAGCAATATTCATCAAGAAAAATTTCAACAGATTGTCGCCACACAGTTAGACCACCAATCGCAAGCCAGTACAGATTGGAGTACATACAAAACCGTTTTAATGAACGCTGCTACTATAGTTTGTGGGAAAACTGGTACAAAACGTCAGCATGAACGTGACACTTGGAAGTTGCATACAAGCAATGGCAAAAATCAAATTCTGTTGATGACCATAAAATTTTCCGAGAGAAGAACAACTATGCAAGACGTCAAGTTGCACTGGCTCGGACAGATCAGTGCAGAGAGTGGCTCACTAAAAGCAAAGGTGAACAAATGAAATCTCTGTATCCTATAGCAAAACAAGCAAAGCGTACGAAAAAAGACATAGTTGGTGCCTCATGTATCAAAAATGACAAAATGAGATGGTTCTTGAAAAAGATGAGATCAAGCTACAGTGGAGAGAATACTTCAATCGTCTGTTAAACGAAACAAATCCCATCAATGTTAACTTTGACGCTCCACCCATCGAAGGTCCGATTCCAGACATCACTTTAGAGGAGCTTACAGAAGCTCTGAAAGCTATGAAGGATGGAAAGGCAGCAGGGCCCTCTGGACTCAAAATTACATCAAACATCTGGTACTGCAGGTATCCAAACGTTACTACAACTTTGCCGTGAAATCTGGAGAAATTGCTCAATGCCGACTGAATGGAACTATAGCATGACAGTCCCGCTATACAAAGGCAAAGGTGATTCATTGAACTGTTCATCATATCGGGGTATACGTCTGTTATAATACTCCCTGAAAATTGTCGAAAAAATCATTGAGAGAATATTAACGTCGTGCATCACAATCGGAAATTATCAATTTGGTTTTCTAGCGGGGAAATCAACAATTGATGCAATTCACATCCCTCGGCAACTGCGAGAGAAGTACCTCGCAAGGCATCAACAACTATCACACATTTTTGTAGACCTTGAAAAAGCATTTGGTCGAGTTCCTCGTGAAGCAATCAGGTGGAGTCTACGTCGACAACTCATTCCAGAATATTTTGTTCGACTTGTTATGGAAATGTATACGAATACTAAGACTCTTGTCAGCACAACGGTTGGAAACACAGATGCATTTGACATCGGCGTTGGAGTTCACCAAGGCTCGATTCTCAGTCCACTGTTATTTATAACTGTGATGGAAGAAATCACAAAACCGATACGCACTAGTGACATTTGGAATCTAGTATATGCTGATGATATCGTTTTAACAGCCACATCCGAGCAGAATGCAGCACAGATGTTTGAAGATTGGAACACCAGACTCGCCGATCATGGATTCAAAATCAACATCAGCAAAACCAAAGCAATGAACACTGGTGAACCCATCCAATCCACAGCTACTGGACGATGGCCCTGTTCAGTTTGTAAAGCTGGTGTAGGTAACAATTTAATCAAGTGTCAGCAGTCTAACCAGTGGTGTCACAAACGTTGTTCAAAAATAATTGGTACTTTAACTAAAGTGTCCAATTTTGTTTGTCCTGCTTGCATCAATCCACAACAACAAATTCGAAATAGCGCTGTTTTTGAAGGCATTAAAATAGAGAAAGTCACATCGTTTCAATATCTAGGGGATGTTCTGGATTGTACTGGAACAGCTGAAGCTGCCGTTCGAGCACGCATACGTGCAGCCTGGAATAAATGGCATCTCCTTGCCTTTATATGGATGCGGCGTGACATCCCACTATCACTACGATCAAGACTTTATAAATCTGTGATACGTCCGGCGTCGTTATATGGTGCAGAAACATGGCCAATGACAACCAAACTGGAACAACAACTTCAACGAACCGACATGAAAATGCTCCGATGGATGCAACGAATTAGTCTGAAAATCTACCAAAATCCTGCGTCGTGCTGGTTTAGATGATATAAAGGACGAATGCCGGGAACACCGTCTGCGGTGGTTTGGTCATGTCAAACGAAGTGGAAACAGTGCCATAACTTCTCTTGCAGATGTTGAAGTACCTGGCACACGTCCCAAAGGCCGTCCAAAGAAGTTCTGGTCGCAAACAATCGAGCAAGACATGAAAGCTCTAAATTTAAATGAAATGGATACAACTGATCGTCTAATTTGGCGCAAAAAGTTGATGGCAAAGAAAACAACGTCCTACTTCGGGAAACCGGGTCTCTGGACGCAAAACGAAGATTGATTGATTGATTCAGTAAGGATTAGAGATGCACTGGATAGTAAATTTGGTGAAGGCCAAATGCCAAAAAAATTATAATTTTGAATTTTTTAGAATGAGAAACATTTTATTGAGTAAAATTAGGCTATTCTTTATCATGATTATATAAAGTCTGTTCAAGTTCAGAGGTTTTAACGTCTGTGATGGCCAAAATAATTTTTCCTCTAATATTAATCAACATTTTTTGTCATGGAATCCTAAAAAGTGATGGTTTGCTTAAACGGAAATTGCAATATTTGGCTATTCGACCTTTTCAAATGGCAGAAGCTAAATGATAAATTTTGACCGAAAATTATCATTTGGTGCGTTTCTAGTAAATATACATACTTGCACACATCCACATTTTATTTATATTTATGTATAATTTTTAATTTTTAATTTTATAATTTATACATACATGTGATCAGATTTCCTGTCAGAAACGAGTAGTCAGGTGTCAAAAGATGATCTGGCAGATTTTGATTCAGACTTTGGCTTTGACGAAGAATGGGGTACTAGTGGGGCATCTAAAGTCAAGAATAACAACTCGTCTAATGCTGCAGATAGTTTTCTAAACAAAATTTCAAATAAATTCAATAGAAGCAATTCGTTAGGGTATTTGAATGCCGCTGAAGAAAGTAGATTCAGCATCTCGTCTTTTTCATCGAAGGATGACACTTCTAAAAATTTTGAAACTTTTGGTGCTAGAGAAGGATCAATTAACAAGTTTTCTAGGGACAACCATTTGGAAGGTGCTGAATATTTGGAAGAAGTTAAGGACAAGCCATCAAAAATGTTTTCAACTGAAGAAGTTGATTCATCTTCTACGATCAATAACACGACGTTCACCAGTGTCGCTTATTTGGCAGTGTCAACTCCCATTGATAAGAGCAAGCATTTGATTGAAGGAAATAGAGAAGGAAGACTGGCAGTATACCGTAACCCACCTCTAAAACCATTCCCACATTCACTTCACAAACAGCAGCAAGGTTCTTTTCAAAATATCGATACTGAGCCGTTGCAGCAGCTGCCAATTCAACAAACTTATCAGCACCAGTTGAGGGTTGCTGATCAGTCTAATAATTTAACACAGCATCAAACTTGCCCTCGACAGATCACGTCGAATCAACATCCTTCTCTCGAAAAAACATTTCAAATTGCACCATTGGATAAAGTTAATCATTTAAATGTTTTACAACCTTGTGATTTAACATCAGAACATTCCAGCCAACTGACGAAGAAGATATCACATCCGACACCAGTGCATCTACAGCAACTTCAACAGCATGAACATCAGTACAACTCTAGCAAGAAACACGATTGTCTACCGCACACGCAACTTCTCAACAACCTCTACACCTACAAACAAAAGTTGACTTCAATTGATAAACAGATGGAACACTGCTACTTAACTGACATCAATATTGCTGATAGTCACCAAGTCATCAAACCAAACAGTGAAGCCGAACATCAGAAGAGAGAGGAAACCAACAAAAACAAAAAGGGCCTCTCCAGTGAAGAAGTTTTCGTTTGATGGCTTAAAGGCAACGCAGCAAAATATTTACTTATTGTAAACTAATAATTTCTATCACCCTCTTTAATGATTATGAATTATTTGCAATTGAAAGTTTATTTATACCATGAAGGTTCTAAGTTTATTTGTTAGATTCCTTTAAAACAAATCATATCACAAATAATAATATTTTCATTTTATGATTTCTAATGTTGCTGCTAAGTTATTATGCCAAACATACTTAATGATTGTTAAATTGATTTTCTAAAGAAAAACATACTTTTGATGTTATGGACTATATATGTAATGTTTATGCTGTTCACATACACACGCACAACACTCACACCCACACGCATACTCACACCCACACATATATGTATATATATTATTTATTGTAAAATCTCCCTGCATTTATTTTGTCTGAGTTATTTTTTGTTTTGCAACCGAGCTATTTACACAATCTGCATTGCAATGACAACCGAATGCTGTGCACATGGATATCTCATTAGTTAATGATGACGGTCTTCCATAAAATCTTTCCTCTGATTAAAAATTGCTCTTGACGCTAATTTTTGTATCTTCATCTTGCTTAGGTTGCGTGATACTGCATTGTTTGATTAAATTTTGCCAATCAAATCGAATGATATTATCAGAATATGTATTTATTGTGGTTTATTTGCAAAATGTTTTATTAATTTTTTCCAGTGTTTTTTTTAATTTGTAATGTTCTTTGGTACATCGTGAAAGTAAAACATATACAAATGTTGGGGGTGGAAAGAATATTCTAACATTTGTCAGTGTTATGGTTAAGAGCAATTGTAACCAGTGTATCGTTGAAAAAATGTGACTATTTTGAGTTTATTTTCTGTAAAGATTGACAATTATTGGATGCAGGTTCTTAATTATTATAAGAATTGATGCCAATGTTTTACGAATGTATGTTAGCCTTTTGGCTGACTATACTTGATCATAATAGGATGAGAAATGATGATTCAAGCACTTGCATGTAAATATATTGCTTTTTTCAAATGCAAACGCTCGTAACGTTTAGAAATTTCTTCTATTGACTCCTCATGTACAGTGTTTTTAATTTATACTCACCTCAGCTATTAATCTAATACTGACTTGAAAGTATTTTCATTGCTGAATGTACACCGCTCATAAATTTAACATTTTTGGTTGCTGCAATATTAATGTTCAAATGATTATGCCGAGTGTGCACAACTGTTGCAACACTATTTATTATTTCACTTTATGTTTGCGTTGTTTGCACGAGGCAATAAAAGTTTTTAACCTTTCTTTAGTTATTGAGATTAAAATTCAAACCGAAGATTTTGCAAGTTGGAACGTGACTGGATAACATGGGAAAGTTGTGGATTCTATATATCTCGAATTTTGAGAATCATGTATGATCAAAAAACATTTCATAGCTCTTACGTGTCCCCTCCAAAAAAGATAATTTATTATTTATTGAATTAATTGCAAAAATATTAGAAACAATTGTTTTGAAAAAAGATAATATATAAAGAATACCCACTTGAATCTACTACAAAGCAGTTTTTTCGGCATCAACAAGATAGGGCCAGGTTTGGACATTAATTAAAATATATCCATCACGTTTTTTCATTTTTTCAAATGAAATATAAAAGTTTTTTCATAATTTTTTAAAATATATTTTTTCAATCAACAAAATCGGAGATACTTTTTTTCATTTTTTTTTTAAATTTTTTTCGATTGCTAGTATTGTTGGTAGTATCGTATTATTTGTAGTATCCCTGGATATATATCCATGGTAGTATCACCAGATGTCTCGACGCTAATATGTAAATGGGAAAGTTAGCGTGCCTGCTTGGTCGTTTCATTACCGTATTACATTTGTTAAAAAAATAACTACATAAATTTTGTTTAAGATTAACTTAAACAACACTCAGTTAAAGAAAACACCTTTTTATCAAAATTTGAACGGAACTTGATGGAAAATTTTTTATGACTTACAAAATCGAAATTAAAAATAATTACCCATCAGTGGTTTGTTCAATGCTCATCATTGAGAACCATGATCTGACGTTGCATCACAGATGGGTGAAGCTTCCTAATTCATTTTTGAAAGATATCATTGAAAAAAAGTTGACAAGGATGAGTCAGAAGTCACATTAAATGGTCTGGCTCGTTTGAAAGCATATTCTAATGAAACTTTTTCAATGAAAATATTTGAAAAAAAAACCGTTGCAGAACATCAGCTAAAATTATGTTTAAACACGTTTAATGAAAATGAAGATATATAGGGTATCTTAAACTAAAATTTATCATAAACCAAGAAAACTTTTTAGGTATTAGCAAACATGGAAGAATTTTTTCTTAGTTGATAGTCTGGACACACCTAATTTATTCTTCAAGCTCTGCAGCGCACCAAATTATACGAGTCAAACGAATTGTGCTTGCCATCCGTAAAAACAAACGTTAATGGTCAAAATGAATTAAATCGAATTAAAAAGTTATAATCTTTAATATTCTTAGGGTAATTGCATTTTTCATTTGTCATTAATAAATTGCAGCAAAACAATTTTTTAAAATACAGTACTACTAAATTTTATTGAAATATATGGAGCAGTACTACTAAACTAAATAAACCTGCAAAATTGCATAAGACATTTTACACATAATACTTTAGGCCTAATATGGACATTTGCGTTTTAGCACTTTCCCATCTAGATATTAGCGTCGAAACATTTCCGACAGTTGTTGTTGGCATCTATAATTGGATGTCTATCCATTGGAAACAATTAGTCAAGACAGCTCAGTAACAGCATTGCAACATTTATCAATAAGCAAAATCCTATTTGAAGAGAAACTCATTCTTATAGCATTGGATTTTCCTGCTGCTTCCAGTTATTTTTGTTCGTGGTATGAGAGCCTCTTGCTACCAACAGAGAAAAACCAAAAAACGACTGCCCCTTTTTCTAACCTCTAAGTTATTTGTAAACAGCTTATCCTCTTTATTCACTACCTCACATACAAACTACCTCACATAAATTGGTTTCGTATGGACACCACTACAATTGCACCATCGGAGAGCTAAGTGCCGTTAAGCTAGATTGGACACCACAATTACCTAGTAAGTTGTACCATATGACTACATACATAACTTGATTTCCAAAACGCATCATTATATTGCTTTAAAATTTGCCTATTCTTTTCTAACGAATCTGTGTACATATGTACAACACCCACTTGACATCAGTTTTCGTCTTAATTTGAACAATTTTAGTAAATGAGAACAATTAAACTTTATATATAATCGTTCAAGGAAAGAAACGACGACCCGAATAATGTTAGAATCGCCGTGACTATAGAAATGATGTTTTGCAAATTGCACTATATAATTAATTTCAATTATCATATTTTTGATTTTTTAATTCTGTTTCCATTACTGAATAATTGTTAGAATTAGATATCTTTATAACGCCGATGGTGAAACTGCTCCATGTAAGCACAGTAGGAGTTTTAAAAGAGGTTGGGGTTGCTTGGATTTGGGGTTGAGCTGTGAATTATTGGCGATCGTGCGACATCGAGCGTATTCGTTGGATTAGTGAATGATTCAGTGTTCCTATTACTGTTGGCATTCAAATAAATGTTCAAACAATATTGTGATTTACGCAGCTGTGTTTATCTATCAGAAATCTATTAGAATTAATAATTTGACGATCGTGCAAGTCACAACGATATGATTAATAATAACTTTATCTCTATCTACAGTTTTTATTGAATGATGTATCAGTCCGAAAGAGAGAAAATTTGTGGAGTATATCGAGGTTGCTATTCCTTCCTTAGACATAATATAATATATTTTTTGTAATTTTGTACGTGGCTAAAACGTCAATTATAGTGATATTGGAAGCTATTAATCCCGAAAAGCGGCAAAAATCAATGATTTCCACAGTAATATCAATCAATCTTCGTTTTGCGTCCAGAGACGCGGTTTCCCGAGGTAGGACGTTGTTTTCTTTGCCATCAACTTTTTGCGCCAAATTAGACGATCAGTTGTATCCATTTCATTTAAATTTAGAGCTTTCATGTCTTGCTCGATTGTTTGCGACCAGAACTTCTTTGGACGGCCTTTGGGACGTGTGCCAGGTACTTCAACATCTGCAAGAGAAGTTATGGCACTGTTTCCACTTCGTTTGACATGACCAAACCACCGCAGACGGTGTTCCCGGCATTCGTCCTTTATATCATCTAAACCAGCACGACGCAGGATTTTGGTAGATTTTCAGACTAATTCGTTGCATCCATCGGAGCATTTTCATGTCGGTTCGTTGAAGTTGTTGTTCCAGTTTGGTTGTCATTGGCCATGTTTCTGCACCATATAACGACGCCGGACGTATCACAGATTTATAAAGTCTTGATCGTAGTGATAGTGGGATGTCACGCCGCATCCATATAAAGGCAAGGAGATGCCATTTATTCCAGGCTGCACGTATGCGTGCTCGAACGGCAGCTTCAGCTGTTCCAGTACAATCCAGAACATCCCCTAGATATTGAAACGATGTGACTTTCTCTATTTTAATGGCTTCAAAAACAGCGCTATTTCGAATTTGTTGTTGTGGATTGATGCAAGCAGGACAAACAAAATTGGACACTTTAGTTAAAGTACCAATTATTTTTGAACAACGTTTGTGACACCACTGGTTAGACTGCTGACACTTGATTAAATTGTTACCTACACCAGCTTTACAAACTGAACAGGGCCATCGTCCAGTAGCTGTGGATTGAATGGGTTCACCAGTGTTCATTGCTTTGGTTTTGCTGATGTTGACTTTGAATCCATGATCAGCGAGTCTGGTGTTCCAATCTTCAAACATCTGTGCTGCATTCTGCTCAGATGTGGCTGTTAAAACGATATCATCAGCATATACTAGATTCCAAATGTCACTAGTGCGTATCGGTTTTGTGATTTCTTCCATCACAGTTATAAATAACAGTGGACTGAGAATCGAGCCTTGGTGAACTCCAACGCCGATGTCAAATGCATCTGTGTTGACAAGAGTCTTAGTATTCGTATACATTTCCATAACAAGTCGAACAAAATATTCTGGAATGAGTTGTCGACGTAGACTCTACCTGATTGCTTCCCGGGGAACTCGATCAAATGCTTTTTCAAGGTCTACAAAAATGTGTGATAGTTGTTGATGCTTTGCGAGGTACTTCTCTTGCAGTTGCCGAAGGATGTGAATTGCATGAATTGTTGATTTCCCCGTTAGAAAACCAAATTGATAATTTCCGATTGTGATGCACGACGTTAATCTTCTCTCAATGATTTTTTCGACAATTTTCAGGGAGTATTATAACAGACGTATACCCCGATATGATGAACAGTTCAATGGATTACCTTTGCCTTTGTATAGCGGGACTCTCATGCTATAGTTCCATTCAGTCGGCATTGAGCAATTTCTCCAGATTTCACGGCAAAGTTGTAGTAACGTTTGGATACCTGCAGTACCAGATGCTTTGATAATGTCATTTGTGAGTCCAGAGGGCCCTGCTGCCTTTCCATCCTTCATAGCTTTCAGAGCTTCTGTAAGCTCCTCTAAAGTGATGTCTGGAATCGGACCTTCGATGGGTGGAGCGTCAAAGTTAACATTGATGGGATTTGTTTCGTTTAACAGACGATTGAAGTATTCTCTCCATTGTAGCTTGAACTCATCTTGTTCAAGAACAATCTCATTTTTGTCGTTTTTGATACATGAGGCACTAACTATGTCTTTTTTCGTACGCTTTGCTTGTTTTGCTATAGGATACAGAGATTTCATTTGTTCACCTTTGCTTTTAGTGAGCCACTCTCTGCACTGATCTGTCCGAGCCAGTGCAACTTGACGTCTTGCATAGTTGTTCTTCTCTCGGAAAATTTTATGGTCATCAACAGAATTTGATTTTTGCCATTGCTTGTATGCAACTTCCAAGTGTCACGTTCATGCTGACGTTTTGTACCAGTTTTCCCACAAACTGTTGTTGCAGCGTTCATTAAAACGTTTTTGTATGTACTCCAATCTGTACTGGCTTGCGATTGGTGGTCTAACTGTGTGGCGACAATTTGTTGAAATTTTTCTCGATAAATATTGCTTTTCAGCTTCCACGTTTTGATTCTCCGAGGCCTTTGTTTAAACTTATGTTTTGACAGTTCGATAACCAGGTCTGCCACAAGAAGTCTATGTTGGACGACACATGATTCGCCAGGTATAACTTTGACGTTTTTGAACAGCCTTCGGTGTTGTTGCTTGACAGCGAAGAAATCATTTTGCGTGGCTGATGGTCCACTTTTGTATGTTATGAGATGTTCCAACCTCTTTCTAAAATATGTGTTCAGTAAACAAAACCAGTGACTTTCAGCAAACTCAAGGATGCGGTTGCCATCTTCATTCCGTTTTCCATAGCCAAAACCGCCATGTACGTTGTCAAAACCATCTGTTTTCTCTCCAAAGTGGCCATTGAGATCGCCTCCAATCAGGATTATTTCAGATTTTGGTATTGTTGAGATGGTGTCAGAGAATGCTGTCCAGAAGTCATTTTTCATCTCTTCTGATTCGCCTGTCTGTGATGCGTATGCACCACAGACAGGCGAATTTAACGTCGTGCATCACATATTGTGATGCACGACGTTAATCTTCTCTCAATGATTTTTTCGACAATTTTCAGGGAGTGTTCTAACAGACGTATACCCCGATATGATGAACAGTTCAATGGATCACCTTTGCCTTTGTATAGCGGGACTGTCATGCTATAGTTCCATTCAGTCGGCATTCTAAAGGTTCTATATGTGTTCGTTTTAGGGATGCACCGAAGTTCGGCCCCGGCCAATATCCGGTTTTTTTTCAAATCCGGCCCCGGCCAGATTTGGTGGCCGGATTTAAGCGTCTATCGACATTTAAAAATGTTATAAATAGAAAAAAAAATTTCATTGAATTCAATTAATTTTATGTCAATAAGTTAATAGCTAAGCATACATGACACATAATAACAACATCACAAATTGTGAAATGAGCTGGACAATTTTCTTTGTGCTATAACATGGGTTATGCATAAATTATAAGCTGATCTTTGTGTAAAAGAAGTTGTGCACGTGTTTATGCTATATAGTTGTATATGACGGATCATAAAGCTACATAATATATATATATATATAATATATAATATAATATATATATATATATATATATATATATACATAATCGCATTATTTAAGAACATGGTATGTTAAAGGTGTTAAAGGTTAGGCTAGGCATACATGACACATAATAACAACATCACTAATTGTGAGGTGAGCTGGACAATTTTCTTTGTGCTATAACATGGATTATGCATACATTATAAGCTGATCTTTGTGTAAAATAACATCACTAATTGTGAGATGAGCTGGACAATTTTCTTTATGCTATAACATGGGTTATGCGTAAATTAAGCTGATCTTTGTGTACAAAATTTGGCGTATCACACAGCTTATTCATATATTTGAATTAATTAACTATTTGCTTGGTGTTATTTTTTGATGTTCAACATGTAGACAACCGTAAATGTGAGTATTTTTTCTAACGTATGTAAAATGGTAACTAAAATCCGGCCCCGGCCGGTTTTTGAATTTTAAATCCGGCCAAGTCCGGCCCCGGCCGGATTTGAAAAACCTGAATCCGGTGCATCCCTAGTTCGTTTGCTGAACACATATAGATTTTCCTGTATTCGCATACAGGAAAATCTGTATGCGAATACAGATTTTCTTCTTCCACAGTAATATAACAAAAATAATTTGAGACACGTCAACATTAACAATTTTTTACACTATCTTTTAATTTTCCGACTTTTATATATTTAATTATAAATATAAAAATGCGTTCCACGTTTCAAAGTTGCTGTCAATTAAAGACAAAACTCAAAAAGATTTTTCGTGGCAGAGCTTTACCAAGAGAGTGTTTCATTGAAATATGCAAACAATAAAACATAAATTAAATATATAAATAATCTAATAAAAGCTATAATAAAATTCAATTAATTCTTTGAAAGTTCCACTGTCTGCTGAACTGGTCAAACGAGTTAGTAATCCACATTTGGTTAAGCAAGCTGTAGCGTTCCTCATTTAGATAGAGTGGTTTACCACGCCTGAGAATGATCATATTTAAATGTAAACTAAAACTGAAGCTGAAACTGGCTTAATAAAAAGAATATAATACTTTCGACAAATCATCTTATACGTGCTAAAATAGTGCATATGCAAAATTCAATTCAAATTTATCATTTTATAAACAAAATTAAAATAAATGCCATAGGTTAAATTATCGGCTTACTAGATTTTAAATAATTTTTCTACAGGAATAAATGTATTTTGGATGTTTTGTAGATGAAGAGGGCTGGTAGTTTTTCATTTCTAGGGAAAGTGTGTAGTATACGATGTATTCAAAAGCATAGTGAGATCGAGATTGATGTCACATAAAAAGATGAACATTACTATTTGCATCATTTATAAGTGAAATTTTAAAGACTTCTTTTCGTTGGCAATCTGTGTCAGATCGATGTTTCAATTTTAAGTTTTCTCTCGTCCGTTAAAATTGAAAAAATTGAGATATCCAATAAAGATCGCTATAGTGGAGCGATGATTGTTATTTTCGAAATAGGAGAGACAGTTGTTTTTGCGATGTTATTTATATGAAACGAATGTTTAAAGGTTTGAAACAAATATTTAAAATAAACTCACTTGAGATTTTTATCTTCTTCACCATGTTTATCCAAATAAACTGATATCCAGGTGGCATTCCTCAGTCCCTTAGCGATGCTGATCAGTGACGTGTCGATGTTTAGGTAGAGGGCCGTGCCGTTGCCGCACTCCAACGAGTGCTGCGTTCATTGATAAGAAATGAATAGTCCTCGTCATCAAACAAGCAAACGTCGAAATTCAAACGAATTAATTAATTATTTACAGATTAACTTGTTGAATTGTTGTCAAAAAGTATTTTAAAGACATGAACCGTGGCGATTTGTTAAATACTTTTGAAGTCGATGTGAATAAACAAATGAAGATAAAAACAAAATTATATGAAATAAATGAAAAAATAAAACTGAAAAATTGTACCCAGATGTGTTCAGCGTACATGGACCTAGAGCAGCAATCAACATTGTAGCAGAGGAACTTCCCGCACAGAAGACATAGAACTGGCGTTTTTGGTTTTTGCTTGCAAGACTCGCATAATTTTTTGTGATAATATTGGAAGAGACTGTCATAATCATTCGGTAACGAAATAAGTGACGGAGCGTGCCACCTGATTGCTGGGGTGTACAGCTTTTTCTGAAACAATTACAAAATATTAAAATAGTGCATGCGCACTTTTGAGGGTACTACGTTTCGTATGCATTTGTTTATACATGAATTTGAACCTAACGTAATTTATTAATAAACAATAAAATTGAATGAGTGTTCAGTACTTCAACATTTTCATTGTCAACAATTTGATGAAGAGTTTCGACGGACTGACACCATCTTCCGATGAACAACTTCGCTTCTTCAACGGACCAGTTCATCGGCATTATGTCAACCTCGCCATTTTCATTACCGATGTTCATTTCAACTTTTGCTGTAACGTGTAACTCCTTGAGCAGCTCATTGTGCGACAACGCTGCGTAATTCTGTATAAATGAAATAATTGCATGTGATTAGCGGGAAATTTTCAAATTTCACAACAACTAAACGAATAAATTGATTTAAATATCTTTTAAGTTGTTTGCTAAGTAGAACACCAGCATCACTAGCCTCACTACTACTTTTATTTACATCGCAAACTCATCAAACACGAAATTTTGCACAATTAAAAAAGTCAACTAAATCAAGAGTTCATAACCAATATTTTAAAATTAACACTCGGAAGGCATATTTCACCAAAAATTCACTTCTTGTCACAAAAAGTTGTATTTTATATTTTAAAAATAAAATTTCAAATAAAATAATTAAAAAATTGAAATTTGTAACAACTAAAGCACTAGCAACCTGCTCAATAAGGTCTGACAATTGAAATATGTGGGCATACAGTAGGACCACCAAACTCAAAAACTCTGTCAATCCCTTCCTCATGAAGTCAGTTACATCTGAAGTACTGCTTATGTTGTTATGCTGTTGAAAATGTCCACGAAAAAACGTAAAATATTACCAAATAAAAAAACACATTCAATAAAAAAAAGAATATAATCTCATTTTGAATGTCCGGTCTTTAAAAAGTAAATCAAACAATTCAAAAAAATATTTCTCTGCGGTTAAAAGCTGAAGAAAAGAAATTTGAAATAGCTAAGAAAAAGAACTGAGAGATGCATAATTATACAATATAGCACATGAAATTTAATTTTTATTTATTTATTCAAAATCCACAAATCGCAAATTACAAAAATGAAAATGCAGATTGACGAAGATCAGATTAAAACATAAAAGTCATGTAAAGGCCACCGTGAAAACAGAAAATTAATATTACAAGCCTGTGAAAATAATTAAAGTAAAAGTGTCATTTTTAATTATAACATAAATATTCAACCATAGTTAATTAAAACAAAGTCGAACAAGCAACTAATGAATATTCATTCAATTTTATAAAAGTTTCATAAATAAAATATTGTTCACACAAAATTATAAAAATGTCAAATTTAAAAAAACATTGATGTTTTTACAATCTTTAAGAGTGACATATATAAATAAAACATTGATAAACCAGTTAAAACGAACAAAATGGTGGGATGAAGCTATTACCCAGGATAAGCAAAGTATTCTTATTGAATTTGTGCTTAATTTTACTAACAATACAAAGAAAATTTTCAGTTTTATTTGCAATGGTGATAAATAATATGCTCATGCCAAGTTAAATTAATGATAATAACAAACGGTCGATGAAAAATTTGGAAAATAAAACTAATGAGAGGGCTCGATGAGAAGTTCAGACGACAGTGAAACATTAAATAACGGCCTGAACACATGTATTTGAGATAAGCGAAAAAAAGTCAAAATTGAAATTAACTTCCAAATAAAAAATTATATATACGACAAAATGAACATTCACAGAAAAAAATGGGAAAGCGTTTGATACTCAGACGCTTATATATTTGCTCGGCCATAATTTGATGGCGAATTTAAAATTTTACCATCATAACTTACAATTATTGAATATCATTCAGACATTATGATTTTCCAAGTCGAAACATAAAAATAATAATATGAAAAAATAATAACCTCAGTGTTATCAGAGAAATGCAAACCATAAGTTTGCAAACAATCAGTTAGATGACATAGCAACTTCACGACTATTGGACAGCTAGCATCTGCAGTCCGCTGTTTGAACTTCTTCAAACATTTGAGTGAAACGTTGCAAGCCACGTTCAACAGAAGTTGTACATACAAAACATTGTAGAGTTTCTGAACGAGTCTAACATAAATATCTGTCATGTTTATTTTTAAACGATTTTAAATTGCTTGAAGATTGTAAAATCAGTTAACTTTAAATTTTTGTCGTCATTATTTATTTTATTAAAGTTAGAATAACATACAGTTTTCCAATTCTTTCTCAAGAATTATTATATCTGTATATTATTTTAACTTTAATAAAATAAATAACGACGACAAGAATTTGGCTAGAAATAATGAAAATTGTAATAAAAAACTATCCAACGCTAGAAATTCTAGATTTCATAGTGTACTATATATATGTAAATATATATTTACAATATTCTATATATATATATATATATATATATATATATATTTACAATATTCTATAAATTCTATCGAATGTTTGGCGTTAATATGTTTGTAGTTCGTTTTTTCGATTTTTCTCACTAAAGTTTTTTGGTGAACGTTTAGTTTATTAAAATTCAAAATAAACTTATTTTTCGAATTCATGCTGCAAATAAGGCCATATTTCGATTCCGAATGAATCATTATCATATTAACGCCAAACATTCGGTAGAATTTATAGAATATTGTTAAAATTATGGTTATATATATATATATATATATATATATATATATATTAATTTGGCGCAAAAAGTTGATGGCAAAGAAAACAACGTCCTACCTCGGGGAACCGGGTCTCTGGACGCAAAACGAAGATTGATTGATTGATTGATTGATATATATATATATATATATATATATATATATATATATATATATATATATATATATTGCAGAAGCAGTCCTAATTGACATCAATAAACCAAAAATAAATATACAACAAAAAATGACAACCTCACTTCCAACCCGGCGCTTAACCAACAATGAAAACAAAGAAGTAATAAAAACTAGCATAGTAAATAGTGACAAAGAAGAATATGATGCTATCGATACAACAAAAATATACAACAAAAATAAATATACAACAAAAAATGACAACCTCACTTCCAACCCGGCGCTTAACCAACAACGAAAACAAAGAAGTAATAAAAACTAGCATCGTAAATTGTGACAAAGAAGAATATGATGCTATCGATGAAGAAAAGGAGACCAAAGAAGATGACCAGCCAATTAAGAAACCTGACTCCTAATTCGCATCAAAGTTCAATTTTACAACACCATTGGTCCAGATACTGCAAAATCTCTTGATGCTATCTGCAGATTGACATCGGGTACAACCAGCAAAATGCCATCATCTGATTTAAGGTTCATACCACTCATCATTATAGACTTTTCTTTTATTTTATCTATGAAATAACTTGGTAACAAGCCATGCACAGTTTTATACATTAAAATACATATTTTATATTTAATTCTTTCTATATAGTAAGCCAATGAAGGCCCTTAAGAATTGGCGTAACATGGTTAAATTTGAGACCTCCAACAATCAATTTGGCTGCTCTATTCTGAATAGATTGAATTGCAGAAATAGACCTATCTGGCAAACCGTAAAACAGACCATTGCAATAGTCCAATCGTGAATGAACCAATGCATGCACCAAGGTATGAATAGCAGATTTATCTAATGACTTACGGAGTTTATAGAGTTCTCGAATCTGTCCGGAGCATGAATTTGTTATCATCTTTATATGATCATGCATCGATAATCTAGAATCAAGAATGAAACCCAGATTAGTTGCTTTGTCACTAAATTCTATTTTAACATCTCCTATTTACACTGAATCTATATATATATATATATATATATATATATATATATATATATATCTCAAATGATGATTCATAAGAGATTTTCAAATATCTGTATCTGCTAATCATTTTTGTCACTTGAATACTTTTCATCAATGCCTTTGCATTCTCAATATCATTTGTTAGTGAATGAGAGACTTGTTAAAGCTGTGATGCAGCTGTATGAAGGGGCGAAGACAAAGGTGAGGGTCGGAAGGGGGATGTCGGACGCTTTTAGTGTTAAGGTAGGAGTGCATCAAAGATCAGTGTTATCACCGTTTTTGTTTGCAATTGTGATGGATGTTGTGTGTGGAAACATAATGGAGGGGTTGTTATTTGAGATTTTGTATGCAGATGGTTTAATCTTGATGGCTGATAGCATGGAAGAATTGCAGTTAAAATTTGACAAAAGTGTTATTGAAAAAAAAGGGTTAAAAGTTAATATTGGTAAGACGAAGGTAATTGTGAGTGGGAAAGGTGGGGAACAAGTGATAAGTAAAATAGACCCCTGTGGGGTATGTGACAGGAGAGTGAAGGCTAACTCGGTATTGTGTATAGATGTCAGAAGTGGGTGCATAAGAGATGTAGTGGTGTGGGAGGGCACAGAAAAAAGTGGAAGGCACGTTCAAATGTAAGAAATGTGTTCATGGTGTGATTAATAGGACGGACGCAAGGACGGGGTTGAGTGGTGGCATCGAAAGAGTGGAAAGCTTTGTTTATTTAGAGGTTAAGCTGAACGCGGATGGAGGATGTTTGAGCGCTCTTACGGCTAGAGTTAGTGTGGGATGGATGAAATTTAGGGAGCTGGGTGGGGTATTGTGTGGAAAGAAATGGTCAGTGAAGATGAAAGGGAGGGTATATAAAGCATGTGTGAGAGCAGCGATGGTATATGGTGGTGAAACTTGAGTGCTGAGGAGAGAGGAGGAAAGTGTACTGCAGAGGGCTGAAAGATCTATGGTGAGGATGATGTGTGGGGTTAAAGTGAAGCATAGGAGGAGTAGTTCAGAGCTGATGTCGATGAAGGGACTGATTGAGGACATTGTGACATTGATAAGGAAATCGAGATTGCGGTGGTATGGACATGTGTTGAGAAGGGATGAAAGGGTCGGGATTAGGCGAGCGTTGGAGTTCGAGGTTGAAGGGATAATAGGAAGAGGTTGTCCGCGATTGGGATGGAGAGAGCAGGTGGAGAAAGACAGAGTGAAAACGACAGATGTGAATGGCGTCGAGGGTATTTCGGTTTCATAATGGGTAGCCAAACGGCAACCCCCGATCTCAGGGAAAATGTCGTCTAAACGTGTGTTGTTGTAAACGTGTATTGTTATTTATTAGTCTAAGTTATTTAAGAACCACGGACGACAGGCACATATACAAATCCAAATTCATTCAATAGGACGGTGTACATTAAAACTAGTCTAAACTATGAAGTGTAAACTCCATTATGAAACTTTTAGGATGAATATCAAAATTAATGAAAAAATTATACTCATAATTAAAATGCTAACCACTAAATAATTTTAGTATAAAATTAAATAATAAAACAATTTCTTAAATTATTAGAAAAGTTTGAATGAAATGTGGACCTTTCTCCATGTGAGTTGGAAGAGCGAGAACAAAAATGAGGAAGAGATCAATAACGCTGGTTAACAACAACCTTAAAAATTAAAATTTTCCATGTTAAGATGCTATCCAACAAATTTTTAATGATAACAGTATTTATGAACAATCCAAACTGTAAAAAAGTCAAAATAATACCTTTTACAGAAATCGGCACTATAATGAAAATCTTTTTTATCTAGCTCGGTAACGAGGTCCCAGACGTCAGGCAGATTCTGTAGAGGATACTTTCGAATCAGAGTTGACAGAATGCAATACAAAGAATCTGCAGCGATTTAGTTAGTTAGCCCGTTTCAGTTAGTGAATCAACATAAAACAGTGGGCTAACAATGAAAACAAACTTACACAGGCATGGCCTTTTGACAAGTTTCACAAAATTATTGCTTGGGTTGCTTGTGAATGAAGTGATGAAGAGCTCCAGTTCTAGGTTATTTCTTTAAACAAAAATTTAATAAATCATATCGCAAAAATAAATATAAAGTCAACTGTATTGAGAGTCCACTCATTCACCACTTTGAAATTTAGCCACAAACACTGAATATAACAAAATATTGACGATATTTAACAAAATAAATACCTAAGAATGGAATGGTAAAAAGCGAAATGATCTTTGTAGTTTTGATCAGTAAGCAAGGAGAAAATTTTTTCAAAATTTTCAGCAACATAATTCAAAGTTTCAATCCATTTCTGTTCATTCTAATATAAAAATTAATAATTTTGATTTAACTGAACAAATAATGTATATAACATTAAGTTATGATATTAGTTCAAAATGAGAGCGTCTGTACATCAGAATAATTTGAACAAATCAATTTATCAACTTTTAATGTTTTCACTAAAATGTCTTAAAACACTCAGTTGGCTGAGCGAGCATTAAAAGTTAGAACATATAGAAAAACAAAAAAATGGAAAAAATATATTAAAACATCACGACGTATTGACAGAGCGCAGATATTATAGAATGAGGAATCGGATCAAATAATTTGTAAACAGGAGGCGATATAAGATGGATAATTTTATTCTGAGTAAAGTAAACTGGCCAAACTCAATAATAAAAAAAGATGATGCTATTAGGAAGATGTGACCATTAGAATAAAAAACAAAAAAATGTAAATATGCAAATTTGTGCATAATATTATATTGATTGTATTATTCATCCTTATTATTATTATTATCAATGTTGCGCTTTTCAACCACTCAAATTCTATTGCGTATCTTTAAAAAACACATTTGCAAAACATTCATCTGTCTATGCACGTGTTAAACACCTACTCATCATAACACGCATCAATTCACCTTCTGCCCCAACGGATCATTTAGAGCAGCCATCATCTCATGCACCTAAACAATCCAATCAATCCTCAATAATAACAAATTTGTTCACCTTCTAGCTCTCGATCTTTTTAAAGCCTTTGACTCCACTATTTGACTACCATTCTACTCTTACTTCAAATCTTGACTATCTACCTTGCTTGATAACATTTAAAACACCGTTATACCATCTTTCCAATCAATTTTAGCATAGTACGAGAATCTAGTTTTCGACCATCAACTTTCGTGGTGAACGCCTCAATACTTCAACCATCTAATCAAATCACTAAATAGGCCAATGATACATATTTAAACATCCCATCTTACAACACCAACATCATCTAACTTTGCTGGACTCACAGTTTGCGAGGTCCAACCAAAAACATCTCAGTCGATCCAACACCAAATCATTCCAACTTATCGTTTGTAATCACCACACCAACCCCAAACATTCACCTGTCACTAACATGAATCAATTAAAAATGCTGGTCGTCACTTTCACCTTAACTTCAACATAACACAACATATCAATTACATAATCACAAAAGGTCTACAGACATTACAGTACAGGCACTCAAAACAATACGCTCACATGGACTCAATGGCGTGGCGTCAAATTCATTGCCGTCAAGGGAATGTCAGTGAGACTACAAACCAACAATTTTACAAGCCAAATACGCCATCCAGTCTTGGCCATGATACGCCACGAAAATCAATTACATTTACTCTTTTACTACCTTCATATCCATCTTTTATTTAAATTTTTGCCACACTAAAAACAATTATAATTAGAATATTTACAAAAATAAAATCTGACTGCAATCATAGGCTGCTATAAATCAGATTGGAGTTTCCTTTTCTAATCATGACTTGATGCTTTTGACTTTCTCAGTTACAACCAATCCAAAGTATTAAAAAGATTTTGGTAAAATTACTTCTACTTCTCAGATCTTTATTTTCTCATTGACACATTTTCCCTATCTGAAATCATGACTTTTGTTTCCCTGAAGTTGATAAAAAGTTAGAATTTCTTGCTAGTTTCATGCATTAAATAGTTCTTGAAGTTTGTTTTTACTTCCCGCCAAAAACCCAATGTCATCAGAATATCAGAAATTACAAATTCTCATTATTTTCAGTTGAACTGTTGAATTCCTTCTTTTTACTCCTGTAATATTTCTCGCATCACTAACTCTCAAAATAATTAATAAATAAAGAACGTTAGACGTTTTTGTCCCACATCCTGTTTTACTTTGATCGTTCAAAATGTTGCACCTTCCGTTCTATCGTGCGTGTGCTGTTTTCGTATGAGTTCAATATCAAGTTTATGAAACAAACAAGAAAACTCAACTCATGCAACGAACTCCACTACACAGGCTTTCAAGAGATACGGAGTCGAAAGCTTTTATAAAATTATTTTGAGGCTACTGATCTTGTTCCTCTCCTTTTGCAAAACAGATTGTTCTATTGATATCTTCTCTTCTGCTTTCTTTCTATGTCCTTTAAAGATTATTTTTAGAAAGACTTTGCTGCCCTGTGAAACAAATGCCACAACTCTAGTTATTGCAGTCAGTTACTAGTGTAAAGGAATAAAATTGAAGTTTGTCTAATCTTCTTGCGATTCCATATTGTTGTGTGCACCTCATGCATTTTGTCTACAAATACTTTAAAATAGCTGGATCTCAATAGTAATGGTTCACTCTTTATAAGAATTGCTGCTGTATGTCACTGTCTTTCATTTTCGTATAACGCAGTACAGTAATTTTTCCATCTTTTTTTGATGTTTTCGATATTTGTAATGAGTTCTCCTTTTATGGCATAACAATAACATATCAACTCGTTTGAAATTTACTTGCTGTTTTACAATTTGAAAAGCTTTCTTATGTTTCCTATTTGATATGCTTTTTACAAAATTGATACTTACATTTTCGAATAAACACAATTTTTTCCTAGTTCTTTTTTGAAGTTTAGTTTTCCCTCATTGTTAGTATTGCTACCACAAGCGCATCAAACCGAAATTTTGTTCGTTTTGGTTTACGGTTTCGGTTCAATCAGCAAAACGAATTTCGGTTCGGTTCCGGTTTTCATTTCTGAAATAATATCGGTGGTTTTCGGTTTCACACCGAAACTTAATTTTTTTAAGCATAGTTCCTTAAACGCATGTAACGGACATACGGACGTCCGACTATCACCACAATGCCAATTTGAATTAAATTTTAGATTTCAAGCATAGTTCCTTAAACGCATATAACGGACATACTGACATCCAACAATCACCACAATGCCAATTTGAATTAAATTTTAGATTGTGAATAATAAAAAATCAATAACAAAAATGATTTTTAAATGTTGTCAGTATAAAAGGAAACGTTTCTAATATTTTTTTTCAACAAATTAAACCAATCATTACAAAGATATTTTGAAATCACTAATATAAATATAAAATTGTTTCAGAAAAGATGAAAATTTCCTCTGATTATTAATATATCTTCTAAAATGTTTTCATTGAAACCACTTCTGCAGTTTCTGAGGATAAATTTTAATCCAGAAACAGATGCTTCCAGGCTCACTTGTGTAGCTGGTACTTTAAAATTTTGAAGATGATCGCACTTGATCTTTAATTTCTCCGATTATACTGGATTTCTCTTCACGTAACAATTCTTACGCAAATTATCGGCGAACTCAGTCGGAAAAAAAACGAAAAGAGAGATAACAAATTTTCAAAGATAATAAAAACTAACGTAGAATTTTAAAAGACGAAATATTATCTAAATATTTTTGTTATGAATTTAACAAAAATATTTTCTTTTAAATTTTTAGCATCGAACCATTATTTATTTCGTTACGGTTTTCGGTTAAACTAGCAAACAATATTTCGGTTCGGTTACGGTTTTTGTTCAGAGCAAAATTTCGGTTTTTAACGGTTTTCGGTTGCGGTTCAGTTCTGGTTCGATGCCCTGGCTACCACCAATCAAATCCACATCACGCGATTTACGTCGACACGAATTCAACATATAAAGAAAAAAATTCATTCCTAGGCACGAAACAGTTATCAAACGGTAACATTAAAACGAGCTTCATAAAAACATAACATCCTAATAAACATAAATTTTCAAAATTATTTTCATATTTTTATTTATTTATATATCTTTTCATGTATTTCTAAAGGTTATTTTGTAATTCCTTGATTTATGCGTCTATTTTCCTTTTGTTTGCCTCTAATTTTTACTTCTGTTCATTTATTTCAAATGTAATTTTTTTCATTTTAATAATTTTTTAAAAAACTTTCCACATTAATATTGACTAAAAACAACCGAAATCCACTTTCCAGAATGTGCAGCATGTACGAGCCGCTACGCGATTATTAGTTAATACTGAAACGTACTCCTTCATTTATTCCATTTCTTAGATCAAATAATTTTTTTTCATTTCTTCAATTGAAAAAAATGAACTTCGCCCAACAAATTATACGAAAATGTAATCAAATTTCCAAGAATTAAAAAGTAAAACAAAGTTAATTAGCAAGTACAAATAACTGATAAACAAACTGGCGTTTCCATTGTGCTGACCGCTAATAACTCTCTGATTTTATGGGTGGTGTCTTCAACGGCAGAGGACGGCAGGGGGTTAGGAACGGTGAGAGGAAGAATTATGTTGGAAACTTGACGACACATTGGACAAACAAAATCACCATTCGCAGAAATTGCCAAGTTAAAACTGCTTTGGTTCTGAAATGTTTTTGATAGAGCACTTTTAACCACAAAAGCTGAAAACGCAGTTTTTTTACTTAAATTATAAATAAAAAATATGTATATAAATATTAATATTATTAATAATTATCAATATATAACTATTAAAATAAAAATAATAAATATTATTATTATTGAACCTAACCCTATCTTGAAGTGATTTAATGTATGACAAGCCACAATCATAATGAAGGTAGTGTCCACATGATTGGATGTTCAAACTTCTGTACCAGGGATAGTACGATGGTGTCTCATACACCTGATGAAAAATTTCGTTTTTGTGAGGTCAAGAACGACATATGTTCTGCCGTTTATTTTGAAATGAAATTGAATCTAACCAGATAATCATTGAGCTTATACTTGTCAACCAGCTGTCTAAACACGCTGCTGCAGTAACCATACTTCATTGAATTTGCTTGCTCGTTATTGACGACTAGAGAAGTAGTTGACTTGCACGACAACAACGAGTGTGACGATGTTTTTAAATGAACGCTGGACCGAGGTGAGGCTGATAATAAATCGGCTGGTAGTGGTGATGAAGCAAGTGATGCTTGAGGATAAGGTGATGCTGAATCCTTTTGCATCACATCATCGTCTGCTTCCATCGATGCAGGACTCACCATCGTTCTATGCTCCAAAACTGCACAGTGTTTCATATAGTACAACAATAATGGCTAGATCAAATAATGAAATACAATTTTCAATTATGTATAAACAATAATTAATCAACCAAAACACTATACTGAATATTGAGTGTTAATATATTGAAGACGAGGAAGAATGGAAGGAACCGTATGAAGGAGTGGCAGCAGCTATGAGGCAGACAGGCCTGTTGTTGCTGGTCACTGTGGAGAGATTGCAGATGCAGCAATCGTACACGCGGTTCATGAAGTCATTATCTCTCAGCAGGTTGTCATGTGTTTTATCGTCGTCTTCCATGGCATCTTCTGATGGAGATCAATAATATTTTACATTCATCATTCATTACCTATATTAAGTCATCGTATGAAAAACACTTTTCAATTTTATGATAAATAAAAATGTTTTTATAAAAATGTCAAAAAACGTTAATAACAAAACTGACAAGACAGTTTATAATGACCACTAAAAACATCTGAATGTTTTATGAGAATTTGGACAGAATATCTAGCAAATATAGTCATTTAATTGTGATGCAACCAGCTGTGGTGACTGAAACAACTCATAGATAGAAACAGCACTCAAAGCAGCGGACATATTTTTAATAAACAAAGAGAAATTTTACAAAACAGTGAATAGTTGATGACAGCCGGAAATAACTTACGTGAGAGAAGAAATTAAAATGTGAAGTAAACACCAAGCCAAAAATTATATAAAATATGAATAACTAAGGCTACTGATGGAAAATGTAAACCTTACAAATCTTAAAAAGCTGTACCAACCTATGAAATCATTCCCAAGAAGAAATTTTTGTTGCTTTGATGCAAAATAATTCAACAGTTTTTCTTGCCTTTGTTTTGCTTTCAAACGTCTGATAACAAAAGTTCTCGTTATTAATAGAATGTTTTTTGGCTGAATTTTTAAAAGTTTTTAAATTGAAAAATTTCAAGAATTCTACTTTCCAATGAGAGGTAATATAACAAATACACGAAATGAAATGAATTTTGGTAAGCAACATTTTCACAACGTGAAACACATTACAACACTATTATAATTACTTATAACCTGCTTAAAAGTTATTACAAAACAGCAAACTTAATGACTTTCATTAAACCTATGATTTATTTGACGGGTTGAATGACCATAATAATATTTACAACAACAGCCACAACCACAACAACACCAAACACAAAACAACAAACAATAATAAAAAACGCACAATTGTTTCAAAAAGCCTGTAGTCAACACAAGCATTTTTAAAAGACGTGATTTGTGTTAACTTTCTTTTGAATCAATAAAACACACTCAACAAGTTGCTTTTTCAAAAGCATTTGACATTTAAAACAACAAAAATTTCTCTGCAAAGTGGGATGTTTGTAATGTTTAACCTGTCTTCCTCGATGGGAACTTTTTTAGGTTCCCCAAGGATGTCCTCATCAGAAGTCACCAAAGTTTTGATGTACTGCATACATTTCTCGTTCCTGCTAATCTTGTCCAACACTTTGGTTATGAAGAATGCTCCATCACCGATGCGACTGTCCACTGCGGCGCCATCTTGTGGTGTAAAGTAACGAATGATCAAACAAATATCATTCATCTCGTATTAAAAATTGGAAGTCTCTGATCGAATCAATGAAATTATAACTGAGTAAATTTACGTTGATTAGTCTATTTAATAGAAGCATTTTGAAGTTAAAAAAATAAAAATTTTCGGTTAAGAAATCCTGTCATTGTTAATAAATTTTTCAGAGCAAACGTAAACTGAGTAGTTCATTTATAAATTTGAATGGAATACTGCGGTTCTTTACCCGACATTTCAATTACTGTTACGGAGTTTAATTTAATAGGTGATCTTCATCTCTTGATTATTGGCGTACAATCATACAATTGTATAGATGTACAATTATACTGTTGTAGCAACTGGAATGATCAAATAATTGCGCTATATTATTTGTTATTTTAATTATTGTTATCTTTGCAATATTTGTAATCTTTGGATAGAGGATCGTAAAAAGACATTGTAAAAATTTAGGATATAAATACGTCCTGCGTAGTTAGGTTTAAAATCAGATCTCTAGTGAAGTTCGATGCGAAGTCATAAATGTGATTTTTTTTTGTTTATGCAGTTAATTGAATTAGTTTATTGTTTCTATTACTGTTGGTATTCAAATAAACATTTAACAAAGTTTGCGTTTGAATAACGAACACTTGACGATCGTTGGAAGCTACAACACTGATGTTGGAAATATAGAGATCTTTGAAGTTATAACATCGGTGTTGACAGTTACGAGGTAAAGGGTTACAACAATAAAATTGTACAGATGTACAATTAATACCATTGTACATCTGTACAATCATACAATTGTACAGATGTACAATCATACAATTGTACAGATGTACAATTGTATAGATGTAAAAAAAAGACAAATCTGTCCAGCTTGTCGGTGTAATAATTAAAGCCAATAGGTTTCCTATTTTACAAATTCAGATAAATAACAGCAAACCACAAAAATGAAACAATGAATGTTTTGTCTGAAGTAAATAACAGGAACAAAAAAATGGGACTGAATAAAAATTATTTGTGAAAAAATACAATTAAATGAAATTTATTTGTAAAAAAAAAAACATAACTAAACAAAAATTATTCGTAAAACGTACCGGGATTGGGTTTGTAAGGGTTTTTAGAAAACTTGGCATGCAATTTGATGAGCATGCTGATGATGCTCTCGCCAATGGCAACAGTTTTGCTATCAACGGAGTGTGATGCGGACAGTAAGCGTTTATTATGTTTCGCTCCGGAGCTTGTTGCACTGGGCTGTGAGAGTTTCCTAATGAGACGACTGTCTTCGGTGACGAAGTAATTAGATGAGGGCAATATGTCACCTGTGAAAAAAAATAACCGTTGAATTCGATCAGTTTGTCGTCTCATTTGTTGCCTCAGCTCCTGCTGTTGTTGTCGTTGTCGCCGTCGTCTTCGTTCTTGTTGCATTCTTGCGTGTAATATTATTCTAAAAATATCCGGTGTCGTTTGGTCTGTGTTTCTCATTAAAGAGTTTTGATTGGTGGCACCTGATGTTTAAAACTTAGTACAATTATCTACCTCAAAATCATTTTTACTACTGTCTCTATAAAGTGAAAAACCAAAAAACTACTGCAAAAGCGTGTTTGTTTATATAATTCAATGATTAAATGTATGTATATATGTGTGTGTACATTGTATGTATATATTTATCTAAATACTAAAAAATACAATTCTCGGTCCAGTAGACAAACAGTGAATCGAAAAATGGCGCCGAAATTAACAGCTTAAGTTCACGACCTGTCTCATTATCAAAAGAGGAGAGGTCTACGACTCTTCCTGAATTCGCGGTAGCATGCACGTTGTTTACAAACTGAATAGTTTAAATAAGATATCCAGATCAGCGGCCTACACTTGCAAACATTTTAAATTTCTGGATTTTTCTGGAAGCACAAAATTTTCCTATGAGCGATATTATGAAAGTTGAAACCAATGTGATTTGCATGCATGGGATGTTGTCAAAAAAACATGTTACATTCCGTTAAAAGAAAAAAATTTTTCACTGTTTCTTCAAATAAAAGATAGGATATAGAAATAGAAAATAGTGACTTTAGATGTTTTTATAAAAACACGAGATAACATTTATTTAAATTGTAATTCGGAAGTTGAAAATTTAAAAAGAATCCGACTCCGACACGCGGATGAATAAATAATTTAAGCATTTATAATTCCAAAACCTAGAATAATCTTCATCACAAACCGACTCAACCGTTCCTATTAACACTACTTGTCATAAACCACTCTTGGTATCTCTTCTAGCTTAATTTTATATAAAAACATCAACTTCGAATTTAACCAAACATGCATGGAAGAGATACTGCCAACATATACTTATGTATATACATGTATATATATATATATATATATATATATATATATATATATATATTGGTAATAGACCATAATTTTTACAATATTCTAGAAATTCTACCGAGTGTTTGGCGTTAATATGTTTGTAGTTCGTTTTTTAAATTTTTCTCACTAAAGTTTTTTGGTGAACGTTTAGTTTATTAAAATTTAAAATAAACTTATTTTCCAAATTCATGCTGCAAATAAGGGCCAAAAATTTTACAGGGAACCGGGTCTCTGGACGCAAAACGAAGATTGAAATAAGGGCCAATAAAGAAACCTGACACCTAATTTCCATCTAAGTTCATTTTGACAGTCAATTTCCATCTAAGTTCATTTTGACAAAGTCAATATTTCCCTATATAAACATCAAAAAGCACTGATGATGATTCATTCGGAATCAAAATATGGCCTTATTTGCAGCATGAATTCGGAAAATAAGT